CATAAAAAAATAAAGTGCCGCTATTTGGAAAAAGATAACACTAATGTAAATTGAGTAATTTACTTCATCATCGTCACACATTGCCCAATGATTTTCTTTCACGCGAACCCATGCGACATAATGTCCACTACTGGATGAACGACCTTTGTGTGTTATAACTCCCTAAAGTAGATAATTCAAACGCTAGTACTAAATGAAAGATTTCAAAGATGAATACTTTGGCAACTACTTTATTAATAAGGATCACATACCACTAAAGAGACTTTATTCATTGCCAGAATTATTTTAAGGCAAACTACCAACAAGGAAATGAGTTAATAGGAATTATGTGATACCAATATTACCAGCATTTTCCGAAAAGTTAAATCTGGATTTTGGCACTATTCAGTGATGAAACTACGGAGATATTTTAAAATAAATCGAAGATGTATAGACCAACTTGCAATTCATAATATCCACTATTATTTGATCCAGGATCATTACTAAAACTAAAAGGAAAAGCTTTTTCGATTTTCTCATCCTCATCCGGTTTGGAAGGATGAGTTATCTCATCAGAAGTTTTTGTTGCTCTTAGTTTTTCAACTTTTTTGTCCTCCTCCTCCTGCAAGACAGAAGCACATAATTACATAAAGAATGTCTTCAAAAATTATCCAAAATGTATTTTAGAAGCAATGCAGAGTATATTTGAAAATTTTCGATATATCTTGTATAAATGCGATGTTCAGAGAAAAATCATCTAAAACTCAGACAGAAAAAAATTCGTACAGATATATTCGATAGTATCAAAAACAAAGAGACTAAATATGGAAATATTTTCATAACATATAGAAAAAATGTTACTTTAAAAGCATCCCGTGCCGGCAATAACTCCTGCTGTAATTCGGGAGTGCACATGTCGTACAAATCGAGAATGAGGGGAAATTTAACGTCTTTTAAAATCTTTGCATTGACCTAAAACAACTGTGTACAAAAGCATGACGCATCCAAATCAATTTAATGTAAAAACCAACTGCAAATCTTAAATGGTCAAGATTCTATAGAGGAATTCCTTTTAAACCACATGGGAATTGTCTATGTTCAAGGCGCTGGGAATATTCAAAGCAATCAAACTGTAACAAACAAATTCAAAAAAAAAAAGCAGTTGGACTTACCTTATCCTTTTCCTTGTAGAAAAATCGAACCATCTGTATTGAGAGATAAGCCGGAAGACGATCGATCAAAGTCTTCTTCTCATATCTAGCGTCACGTCCAAGCACTGCTGACTTTTTGATAATTTCCTCCGTCAGTTTACCTTTAATGCCGAGTTGCACATACTTAACTTCTTGGCTAAGGAAACAACTTAGCTGAAATGGAATTTTTATAAAAATTTGATAATGAAACATCTTATTTTAAAATTAGATGAACTAATAAATCATCTCTCATCTCTTCCTTCAAAAAAAGGGACAAAAATTGAGAAAAAAAAAAAGACCTGCAGAAAAGTTTCATTTGTGACACTAACAGGTTCGACATCGGATTCCAGATTCTTCATTTCAATCTTGAACCTACCTTCCATATATCTTGAAATTATGGATGCCAAATCATCCTTTGAAGATGACTCGGAATCTATACGAAGAAAATAATATATTAAATATCAGACCAACTGGTATAAAGAAATTTTAGCCAGAAGCAATATATTTCACCCGTAGCACTGAACCAAAAGATAATGCATTTTTGGCTTACTACTAAGACTTTCAGACATGAAAACATTTTTACAAGCTTATTACTCTCACTCAAGGAAATTAAAAATTACGGTAATTAGCTATGCTTTTAGCAAAAGACAGAAAATTGAGAACCTGCAACTTTCAGTTGAGTCTGAAAAGCCCGAAGTAGCTCAGTCCAGCACTCATTTGCATCCTGTTGCATCCATCCATGCTCATCTCTAGCCGCAAATTGTGGAAGGACATTATGCACTACCTTTAACAGATAACCGATAATTACTATCCCTACAAACTCCATTCAAAATCTCAATATATTACACCGTAGTCTGAGAGAGTATCAATTGCACTGCTAAACAGTTGGGCCTACAACTTAAAAAATGAACTATTTACTGAAGGAAAAAAGCCACTTCGATAATTTGTATAATCGATCGTTAAACTCACCTGTATCATAATAAGTGGAATAACACCGCCAAAACTTTTTGACTTTTGATTGTCCATCATCCGATACAAGTCACGAACAGCAGCTGTAAGAGCTTTCGAGCCACCCTCACCATCAACGGATGAACTTTGAATTGATTCAGAATATTTGCTTAACGCTTCCCTTAGTTCTGGTATTACCTAAACTGGGCATATGTAAAATGTTAAAATGTACTTTCAAGAAGCAATTTTAGTTTTAAACAACAGACAAGCGATATTACCTTGAAACACTGCAAAGTTGCATTCAGGTAACATGTGTTGCCTAGATTCTTCAAACCTGTTGGTAGAATGATTGAATTTGACGTCTGAAAACATAAAAAACCACTAAGAACGTCAGCAAGTAATCATTTCCTTTTCTTAATTGACTAAATAAAATTCTAGGGTTAAATTTAAAAATAAGATTCAAGTAATAAATGACTTCATCCACAAAAAAGATGAAAAAAAAAGTACCTCAGCTTCCATACCATCAAAGCTTTCTTCAAGACTGCTAACTGGTGGAGGTGGCGGGACTATGCCCCCACTACCAATCATCATCATTATCATACCATCTTTCAACTCACAACCATCCCAGCTGTTATCACCAAGAATTTTACCCTGCAAGTATTGTAAAAATGAATCATCAAAAATGTTCTATCATTTCATGAAAAATGAGTGTCCAATGTCATAGACATAAGTTTAAACATAAAATGATGCTATTCAACATTTTTACGTTCTCACATATTTTCATATTCATTTGAAAACTAAGGAAGTTGTTTTCATTATACAACAAAGGATAAAGCAATAAAAGAACCAATAAAAAAATGAAATTTTTAAACATAAAAATACAACAAAATTAAATGGCATAGTAACAAAAGATTACAATTAACTCTAAGTTACATTAAAGTCAAATGCAACTTAACAATCTAATGCAACATATTCTGCTTAAAAAAAAAAAAGTAACGCTTAAAAACATCTAAATTCAATATAATGTGTATAAATTTATATAATTCTTCATACATAAATACTTGTATATCTCAAAAAAAATTAAATGTAGTATAATATAAAAAAGATGTAATAAAAAGTATTTAAAAATATACTATAATAAGGATAATAAAAAATATCCCAACTCGCAAGTATTCCTAAATTAGTAATCTGACTTTACAAAAAATTTGACTTACTTTAATGAGCACTTTTTGCCGATCCGGATTCACACCTGTTAAGGAAAACAGTTGTGATTTTAGTTGAAGCGGTGAATCGTTCGTATTTGCTTCCACTTCGAATCGTTCCTTTCCCCACTTAACGAATACTCGTACCATTGTTTTATCTTAAGGAATAAAACTGATAAAATGATAGCTAAATAGAATATGAAAATATGCTAACTTTAATCAATGTAAAAACCATTAAACGATCGATTAAAATTAAGATAAATTCTCAGACATTTAGTTTACATTAAAAGTCTGAGAATTATCAGAAAAGAGTTAATCATTAGCATAAATCATTGATAATCCGTAGATAAAATGATAAAGTGGAGATCTTGGAAAATTTCTCACAGTTACATGAAATTTCTAAAACGAGTATTTGCTTAGTAATAAAAAATATATTTTGTCTGAGATCTTTTCATCTTACTCCGAAAGGTACCAAGAAAAGATAAGCATGAAAACCTTCAGGTAATAAAGGTCACAAATTACCAGTAAAACCGGTTAACACGACAATAAACCACTGAGAGTAGTCATTTTGCAGTGACCTCACAGGAGCCGGGCACAAATAGCTAAAGAAATGTCTTTTGTCGGTGCAAAAAATCTCGCAGAGGTCGAGAAGAGGTTGTTTTCCGGAACTGTTTTCCGGATGACGGTGTGATGTAAATCTACCTGACAGACTGACATAATTAATTGTCGGCAAATTACAGTTTTTTTAGAGATTAGAAATTATGCAAATTACTGTAATTTAATTGAAAAATTCTTTACAAAAGGAATTTGTAAAGACGCCAGGAGTGTTTGAGATAAATGTTAAATGTTAAATTGAGTACCTTCGAAGGATACATCGAGAACGGAAACGAAGAATAGTCTCTTCCGGTTGTGTTAATTTGTTTGACCTAAGGATCACAATATCCGACAGATTATACATAGCTGCATCCGGAATACTGCAAGCCGGAAATAGCAATTATACTCGTGTAAATATGCAAATTCTCTGTTTAAATTTAACCACTGTAAATGTAAGAGTAATTTGGAAGAGGACACATTGTTTATTATGGCGAAAAACGGAAAGGTTGGTAAAGCAATAGCCACCGCTTATGTGAAAGATGAACGAGACATTCCGGATTATGAATTTCCTGATAGGTAATATTACATATTAATGCTAATTTCCGGACATCATTTCATCATATATTTTATAGACACATAAGCTATTCTTCTTTCTGAGTAGATTCTCAGAAACTATAGAAGAAGCAATTTGTCTTAATAAAACCAGTCCAGATAAATTTATTCCGGAATAAAATTATTCAGTATCGTTACCACGTCCAAACGTGCAGCAATAGCAACAATTTGGCTGCGAATGTACTTTAAATTCAATAATTTGTAAAATTGAGATGAATGTGTGAATTTAGTGGCCATGTAAAGCTAAACTTGACGACATCAGATGTAGCAGTTCTTGAAGAAGCAGCTTCTGAACCGGATATGCAAAGCAAGTCATCGACATCGCTAGCAGATATGTAAGCTGAAAATACTTATTAACACCTGCCGGATTGTCGGTAAAGCTTTTGAACTAGTGAAATACCTTGAGGTTGAAGGTTACTGGGAATTCAGCACCAACCTCTCATCAATAAAATTTCCTCTCGTCTTTTACATTACAATGACATTATTATCATTGATCACTCTAACGACTACTCCGATTCGTATCCGTATCCGTATCCGTGTTTTTACCGGAACATCAATAATGAACTTTCAGAGGTTTATCCCAATTTGAAATTCTGATACATCTATTATTATCATTTAAAGTTTGTTAAGTAACTGATAGAATATGGAATTTGTTAATATCTGGAAATATAATGAAACTTAAACCAAACTCTCTGAGTAAGAGAACGGGAACTAATTTAGTTTTTTCAGGAAAAAGCAAATTGTTGAAGCTCGATTGCTTGCAACAGTAGCAGTACTTCTTAGTTTAGGATTTATTTGGTTAGCTTTTTTTATTCTTAGATTCGATTATATAGCATTATCTCAAAATTGAAATTGAGATATTATTGTTCTGTCAACTTTCATTAAGCAGCAATTCTCGAAATACAGTCTGCTGCTAAATTGTTTTGTGTGGCATGCGGTACGAAATGCAGAGATGAAGCAAATTTTGTTGGGTATCTTAACGTTTATTGTGGGAATGTCAACTCGAGACTGGTACCGCTTACATGGCGAGAAACTAACGAGAGCTTTGAAAGCGCTTCTTAACGTCTCCAACATGCTTAATTCCTTTGAGTAGGTACTTTCCCTTCTTTTGTTCCAAAGTTTTCCTTCATAAAAATGTTTCTTGAATAAACAAGGATCGGGAAGCTTGAAGGGAATAATTGTTTCATATTTCTTAAAAGCTCCAGAAATTGGCTTTCATATTTTGCTCCTCAAAAGTACGACCAGTAGTTTAATCATAGGATGGGGACTAATTCAACGGTTGAACTCTTGAATTCCCTTTCATCTGCACGAATTCGGCAAGAAAACTGTCCAGTCCTAATCTACAAAAGTATGGTTCTGCTTTACATATACATTAAACTTTCTAGTACATCTACTTTCGATTTCTTTGGCATCTGTAAATGTTTGAAACTCAACGGGAAATATACCCCGGAAGATTTAAAAATTAACGAAGGAATACCACGAACACCGGAAACCAGGTAACTCAAATAATTTCCGACTATTACTTTCGGAATTGATGAAGATATCACACTCATCAAAACACAGAGTGAGTAACAAATCGCTGGACTTCCAGTTTAGATTTTTTAATGCATCTAAATTACAGCCCAATCAGATTTTAGAACACGGTAATACTCGCATGTTTCAATAAAATAATATCCAATCACTATAACAAATGATTAGATAATAATTAAAGTAACTGATGGTAGATCGGATAATTAAAGTAACTGATAGTAGATCGGAAAATTTTACTGATAGAACAAAATTAATCGAAAACTATTTATAAACTCTCTACTGTTTCTGTTTCTTGTAGTCCGCCGTTAAGTCCTTCGACTGGAGAACGAAGCGAAATAAGAAATTCGGCAATAAGCAAGTCTTGAATCTCCGTTAATAGGTCGTTACAACTACGTGCATTTTTTATTCCAAATAAATAAATAAATAAAAAAGAAACTACATTGCTAAAATTGAAATTGCCAATGCAAATTTGAAACTACTTTTTATCTCATCTTGTGGTCGGTTATATCAAATTAAACTTTTAAAGGATAGTATTTCTACTGAAAGATGATGAAATAGGATAGGACACTCTCAGCTTTTAAAACCTTCAAAGCTCACGCATGTTGAACCAAATTTAGGATTCAGAATCCTGCAGGAGAAATGCAGAAACGACGGCTTTTGCGCAAATATCCAGGAAAAGCCAGGGAAAAACTTTTCGTATATCACTTTTGAGAAGAATTAAATTATAAAGCAATAGAGGAATAAGCAAAGTCCAGAGGCATTTGGAGATCTTTTTATCTAAGGATAACACTAAAATAAAAAAAAAAGTCTAAAATAGCCTATGTATAATCCTATATAATCATCATTATCATTATTCTATAAATGCTTATCAAACCAATTTAAACCATATTAAACACAAAACACATAATCTTTGTTATCATATAGAGATCATTCCTTATGTAAACGAAAAGAATGTAAGAAGGATACTGTACAAAACTGATGATTTAACCAAGTAAGAAACCATCAAAATAAAGTTAACTCATTAAAGAAAAACTCAGTAATAGTTCAATAAATAGTTGGGTAAAGATTGAAAACTCTAATTTCAAGTGATAGCTATGAACCCATGAAGTACCATATGCCTCTCCACACCTTACTTATTTCAACTATTTTGGCAGTGGGAAAAAAACCTGGAAGAAATCATCCATATCCCTTCTACAGTATTTTTTTTTATCTTAGTCATTAACTAATAACAAATGCAAATGCTTCGCTTCCTGATAAAAATCCTGATTTATGGAGAATAAAATCTCAATTTATTTCTATGAAGTCGGGCTTTGTTGCATTTCTGTAAGTTTGGACAGTTTCTCTGACACGTTCAACAGCATCACTCAACATAGCCATAATATCTGGATCTTCCTGAAAACCTCATATTGAACAATGCATCACTAACAAATTTTCAATGGTCTAATTCTAAATATTTCGCTTTTTATGATGAAATTAAAGATGATAAAGAATAAATGCTAAGTGGGCAAATATGATAGTCCGAGCTATGTTAGTCTTCATGAAAAACTTCCAATATAACTGCACCGAAAATACGAAGTTTTTGCAGGTTGTTCAGAAAATAATTCTCACTTTTAAGAATTGATCCAAATATGCTTTCTTTTTGAGGAGTGTTTCGCACTGATTCAAACTCTCTTGAAAAAGACTAGCTGCATTTGTGTGATTACAAAGCATCAGTCCGGAAACTCTATTTGTTACTGGTAAATAAGGCGAGCGACGACACTGAGTTATATTTAATGAACCTGAACCCCATGGCGCAAACCTGAAACATTACTTACCTTTTTTGAACTATTTTTCTTGAAGAAACATTATGAAATTAATGAAAGCATCAGCAAATCCTATTATTTAATGTAATGCAGTTGCGGATAGTAATGCATGGATGTCTAAAACAATGTTCCTTTATTCACATCATTTAATTCACTCGCTGAAAAAACTATTTGAAGCTTAAAAATGCAAAGAAATAAAATAATTGATAGAGTGGAGCAAAAGGCTTTGGAGCAAGAGCTTACTTTATATCACGTCTTTCTTTAATCTTTGCCAGTGATGAATAAATTTCAGTTGGATCAATTCTACCCTGCAGAATAGCCAACGCCGATAACATACAATGATCAACTCCTTTTTCCATTACAGCGCTGCTCATCATACTTTTTGATTGTAGCAAGCGTCGAAGCACATCACCAACTGAAGTTTTCATCACCGTAGCATCACCTTCACGAAGTGGTGTAAAACCTAAAGAACGATATGCAGATATGTTTTTGTTTAAAAACCTGATAACAACCAAACAAAGGATATACCAAAAACGAACTCAATTAAAGGATGAGATGGAGTAATACTAAAATATGAAATAAACTTGAAATGAAAAAATTTTAATAAGATGAGATTGAAAACGAATTGCATGCAAATAAAGACAACCTGTCTGAATAAAACGCATTGGTGGATATGCAGCCAGTGGAGCAATTAGATTAATCAGTCGAGTATTCATTGCACCAGGAAACCGTAGAGTAGCTGTTGATGCGCACATAATTCGTGAAACCTGAATAAATTTCAATTTCAAAATTTTTGTTTATGTGTGACCGTAACATGCGATTAGTAGGCTTATTTAAAAAAGGGTCGTTGCTAAAGATATCTTGTATAGCAGACGACTTAATAAGATATAAAGCTGAGCAATTCCATATTTTTTACTAAATTACCATGGAATTTATGTGAGAAAATGATGAATTACTATCTGGCGCATTTTCACTTGCAATCCGATGAAGAGCTGTATTATCCAGAACAACTACACAATTTGGATGTTCAATTAACCGAGCCAAGGTCAAAATAGAATTATATGGTTGTACCACCACATCACTAGCTTCACCTTTCTTCATCACTGGGAAAACTGAGTAGGTTTGCACTAATTTCTTCGGGAATCTGCAAAATCCATATGAAACAACTTTAAAACAAGCTGTCTTTCCCATCAAACATTTTTATATTATTAACTATAATACCAATACAGTTTCTACCTAACATTAATTATAAGAAACGAAACCTATCACTTATTTTTTCCAGCGCATGAGATCCCATTCCTGAGCCAGTACCACCAGCTATGGCGTGACATAACATGAATCCTTCCAGATAATCACTGTTTTCTGCTTCTCGTTCAAGGATATCAAACAACGCTTCTTGTGCTTCCCTTACAACATTCTGTTTTATACAGTTAGTATTTCTTCTTTCAATCAGAAATTTGATAAATGAAATCTCATTTCTGAATATTATACAACAAACAATTCAGTGGCTTTTTCTCTTTTTGTACAAGTAACTTCGTTTGCTTCACAAATGTTGCATATTTCATTACAACTTCAGAACTGACAAAAATATTAAATAAAAGAAAGAAATCCTCGTCCATTTAATTTCTTGGCTGCATGCAGAAGGAAAAGCAAACAGGACAGTTCCAAAATAAAACACAAAATGTAATCCAAAAACTTCGGCAAATACCACAGAAAGAATACCTAATATACCTAACATTTTCAGTATTTTCCTTCATCTTTCAGAAAAATGAAGAAATCTTACCTTCCTTGCTTGTAGCCACTAGCAAAATTATTTCCCGCACCACCACCACTTTTCGACATAAAGATATTTTCCATATTGTACAATGTACGATAGTCAGAAGTGATAATACCATTGATAACACGTGGTTCCAAGTCTACCAAAACAGCACGTGGAACATAACGCTCGTCGTCCGCCTATCATTATCAATATAAATTTCAACGTTCTGAATAGTTACTCGACACCAGAGACCAGAATTGTGGAACTTTTTCGAGCAGAGATTAATTACTATTTGATCCAAAAAAAAGATCGTGAGGAAAATCAAAAAACTTTGAGTAGATGATTCGATACACTGAATGATATAGATGCTTTAGTATCATCTCATAGGTACACCTGATAAAAGAAAACACGCTTCAAGTCCTTCGCATCAAGATCACTTTGTATAGGCACACCGTTCGATGCAATACCGTGTTCGGCACATAAGGCACGCCAAAATGCGTCACCTATTTGATTTCCACATTGACCAAATTGTACAGCAATTATTTCACTCGGCATACCTGTCATTAATAAAATTGAATTTCACGCTTATCAAACTTCTACGGACCATTTAATGTACCAGTCAATCACTGTGTGCTTCACCATCATTTTGTTCCGAATAGGTAAAATTCTAAAGTAAGAATACCTTACTCTTTTATCAACCAGAAATATCGCTCAAAATATAAAGTATAAAACACCTGAGAAAGCAACAAATACACTGACGAGCAATAAGGATAAAACATACATACTTTATTTGAAAATTTTTAATCCGAAAATTCAATCAAACAAAACCTTACACGCATGATCAACAAATTTCTATTTAACAACCAAGCACTAATCACTTAAATCAAGAAAAATTCGCAGATAAAATAGAATAGTGCTACACAATACCATGTAAACAGGAAATATTTGGCTAAACTTTAAATAAAACCGGCACAAATTTCTGTATGACCAACTCCTTTTATGCAACTAACAAAGAGATCATATAACAGCAAGGAAAAACTAACACACAACGAAATAGCAATTCCTATTTGCAAAGAATCATGATTTCGTTCCTGGCAAGTTGAATCCATTCTAGTCTTCAGTATTCGTTGTATATAAAGCATAAGAGCTATCAAATTTTTGCCTTATTGAAGCAAAAATACATTCCAGTTCTTCAAAACCTTTCATAAGCGTACTGGCTGCTGACACTCCACGTTTCGTTTGCAAACGGATTAGAATTTTATCTTCCAAAGGATGGGGCACATTGTAACCACAGAACTCAACATCTCGCCTAAAAATATTTTCTTAGCAGCAGTTAAAAAATGTACGTAAAACATTATATTCGACTCTTTTCTTGCAATTGAGTCGAAATTTTCCATCAAGAATTACTTATTGTCATCTAAAAGATCATTTTCATACCTTTTCTTCTACTTCCCACGTAGCATACTGCGCCCATCCCTTTCAGAATCAAACTTATCAAAAATCAAATCTACAAATTAAATCAATGAAAAGATCACTAAATAACCAAAACTAAAGGATGAAAGAATAAGTGACTCGTCATTATATATATATATATATATATATATATATAAGCTGCAATAAAATTTTTATTGTAGCTTTGTTTCTACTCTACGCTAGTTTAATGCTGAAATAACGAATACGCAACAATAAGCATACATTTTGCACAAGACATGTTTCAGTGAATTGCCAATAGTATGATCTTCTTCATATAATATCACTGTTAAATTTGACGGGTCTGAACGGAACGAATCCACATCTAACTGGAAAAAAAGGTACAGTTAGTGAGAAAAAAACTAAAAACTCTAGAGAATTTTGTAAAATTAATTAACACGTTAAGTTACTAAGAAAAATTGAAAGTTACTTCAAAATAAAAATATGATAGAAGCGAATTATCTTAGCAAGGAAAAAAATGGAAAGCCCCCAATAACACTATAAAATTGGAAGTTACACAAATTATTACTGATCTTATTTTCTTGATAAGAACTAAGTGAAACTATCTTCCATTATAACATTTGGCTTATTATTTGAAAGAAATGCATTATAATTATCTCTACCATTGTTATGTCATTTCAGAATCAAAACAAATCAACTAACGATTTCCACTTTTCGCTCCGAGTCTAATAGACTTGTCATCACTGAATCTACGGCCACTGCTTCAAATTTGAAATCAAGCAACTGTCTCGTTGGATTACGGACCAGACGTGTCTGATTTCATTCTGGTGGTACAGTATGAAAACAATGATGGCTTGAAAGCACCGCCGTGCGTTGTTACTGTATCGTTGATAGTGTATAAGCTTGGAGAACTCATGTCGCCGCTATCAGTTACTTATCTGCGTGACCTTGCAGTGCATCACGTAAAGGTCACGTCTTCAAGGCATTCTGCTACCAAATTACTTTACTTGACAAGTGGACATCAGAGAAGTTAGAACTTATTGTCTGTATTTTTGTTTAATTGGAACATAAGTTCACTATATACACTGTAACAGTGCAGCATATTGTGACATAAGTTTGCACTGATTTGATACAGATCACCCCCCCCTCCCCCTCCCCCTCCCCAGTCATTCATAGTTGTTGTGTAGAAATTTGTGATGAATGTCGTCGCCTCTTTCTTCCTGTTTCTGTTTTGAAACTTAATTTAAGTCAAAACTTTGTTCTTTAGTTTCGACACACTCTTGCAGATGTAAACAGAGACTGTCTGATCAGTTCATAAGCTAAGTCCCTTGTCTTCCGCAACCACAACGTAAATACAAATAGATGAGTCATCGTCCCTTGTCTCCCTCAACCACAACGTAAATACAAATAGATGAGTCATCCCTGTCGTCCGGTTAACCATCACATTCCATCTTCCATAAATGCAGAAGTAAATTATAATGCTTTTATCCATTTTGAAATGATTAGTTCAAAAGATGAAGAAGTAAATTTTTGCTGTTAGAAAAATTCTAAGTTTTATTCAGTTTAATTCAGATAATAATGCAAAAGAGAGTTTAATGTTTTCATGAAGGATTAAAGAGAATTATATGAAATCTGAAATAGTTTATTCGGAAAAACAACAGAATGCATAATACTAAAAGTTGATAAAGATTTCAAAAGTGTTCTACGAAATAGTAATCACTGAATGAAACGCTTGCTGACCTGATTTAGAGAATCGATGGTACAAAAAAAAAAGAGAGATGCCGATGTCAACGATGTCAATGACAGTGGTGCAAAATGCTGCGATGCAAAGTGAGCCTACGGCAGATGACATCTCTGTTTTCATTCACATTGAAAATGTCCCCGAAAGGATGTGACAAAGAGAAGGGATAAATCTGTCCATTCAATCCTTCTGTCATTGTTGGAGTGTCCCTTATATTCTCTGTTGTCAACGTCTCTCTTTGTTTTTCACACTGATTATCAAGAAGGAATGCTGAACGACTTTTGCGCAGTTCTTGTTAATTGAAGGTGTAAAAAATGGCAAAAATTTCCTATAAGGAGAGATTTTATAGTAGTATTGGAATGTTTCTTCATGTACTCTTTGTGGCTGGTCCTTTGGACTTTTGGTACTGGATTAGATCCAGTTTGAAGTCTGTAAATGGACGTACTGTTGTTATCACAGGCGGTGCATCCGGCATTGGTAAACGTTTAGCTGAATTATTAGCCATCCGTTTCGGTGCCAAAGTTGCTATTTTGGATATAAACGAAGTAAGCCATTTTTTCATAGCTCTCAAAAAAGTAAAAACATAGTTATTTGGTGACAGAAATTTGCTATAATCGCTCTTATAACTAACGACTTGGCCACAATTAATCCTCCAAGTATTTTGTGATCATTACTCTGAGAGAAAGTACAGATATTAAGGAAAGTACAGATATTAAGGAAAGTACAGATATTAAGGAAAGTACAGATATTAAGGAAAGTACAGATATTAAGGAAAGTACAGATATTAAGGAAAGTACAGATATTAAGGTTGAGATGAAATTTTTACAATTATAATATGCAATGTGTTTTTTTTTAAAATTTTTTTTTAAAAGTCACTCAGTGCTTTCATATTTGCTATTAATGCAAAAAAATCTCGGGTATTCTTAGCTATCTCGGGTATTCTTAACTTTTTTTTCGCTGGAAGAACAAATTTTTAGTAAATTTGCTGCTTTTTATTTGCGTACATTGTGTCCTCTTTTTTGAGATCAAAATTGAGCTACTCGATAACTGTCGCCTCTACTCGATAGCTATCATCTAAGGTTATATCAGTAGATACTTCTTATCATCAGTCATCAGTTAGACATTAATGTCCGTATGACTCATAACAATTTCTCCATGGAATTTACTGGTGAAACTAAAGGAAAGGTAAAGTATAAATGAGCGCTATGTATGTATTTATTGTAGCATGGTGCGCAAGAGACAGTGGACAACATTATTAGAGGTGGCGGTATTGCGCATTGCTGGAGATGTGACATAAGCCGGGCGGAGGAAGTGAACGATTGCGCCCGACAAATTGACTTCACATTTGGTATGGTCTTTGTTTGTTGTTGTTGTTTCCGATCTCTGTCTTTACTGTTTCTTTCCCTCAAACAGTACTTTAATTTTGCATTCTCTTTTATTTCCTGTTCTGTTAACGGATGAACACAGCGGAATAAGGAACGCATCGGCGTTTGCAAGAGATATGAGGAGCGCAAGGGAGACAATTCAGTAGATAAAGAATGATAGAGAGCAGTAGATTGAACGATGGTTCTAATCAGGAAATTTCAGTGAATTTCAGGAAATGTCGATATCGTAGTCTGCAATGCGGCCATTTTGTACATTGGAGGAATGCTGGATTTGACGACAGCTCAACTGCAGAACTCACTCGATGTCAACGTGATGGGCACCATCAATGTTTGTTTATAGACTTTTGCAGAATTTGGAGTTTTTTTGAGAATTTGGGACTTGAAGGTGAAGGATGTATAGCAATCGATCATGCAGAGTAATAAGAACTTCTAAGTAATATTTAAAATAATATTTAAAAATTTAAAAATATTTAAAAAAAAAAAAGTAATATTTAAAAAGAAACTTCCAAGAGACACAGCTTTTCATGGATGCAGTTGAAGTATAATACAAATTGAAGGACTGGGCGCTTATAGCTACGCTACAAGCAAGAAACATATCTCAGTGAGTATTCCAATAGTTCTAGTATTTCGGTATTTCAGTCCTGGGTACATCCACTTTTTTAACTTTTCTCTTTATTATTAGCGGTGTGCTAATTACTTTGTACTAATTACTTACTCTCTTTAAGTAGAACACTGACTGATTCGATTGATCATCAAAATATGGTGGATGAAAATGTGGGAAGGAGTGGATGAAGAAAGTGAAATCTAATAATGGATTCTATTGGTACTAAGTGCGCCTTTACAGACAATTCGAGCATTTCTTCGTTCGATGGAACAACGAAATGAAGGACAAATAGTTGCAATTTCGTCAATTGCTGGTTTCTGCGGTGAAACGAACGGTATTGCATATTGGTTAGTTAGTAATTATTAAGTTTAAATTAAAGAATTGTTATTAAGTTTAAATCAGAATAGTTATTAAGTTTAAATCATTATTAAGTTTAAATTAAAGAATATGTGAAATGCACAAGTTTACGTGAAGTGTTGCATAAAGTATTGTGTTGCAAAGGAAGAAATCATACGAAAGAAGAGTTCACCTGTTATCTTAATTTTTAGATATTATATGAAACTTTTTATTCGTTGTTTGATCTAAATAATAGTTATTAATCATCTGATTAAGATGATTAATTATAAGTATATAAGATCCTTATTCGGAAGCATTTTGTTGACAATCGAATAACAACTACTGGGTATTATCATATCACTAAATTATTGTTTTATAATTATTCCATTTATAGCAGTACGAAATTTGCCATTAGAGGTGTAATGCAATGTCTGCAAATGGAAATGAAAGACAAAGGTCTGAATGGTATACGATGCACGACAGTATGTCCGTACTTCACACGAACACCGATGATTCTGAATTTAGGAATGAGACCTACATCCATGTAAGCTTCTCCTTCTTAACATTCTGATATCAAGTGTATCTTCCATCATTTCTAGAAATTTTGACTATTATAAGAATTGTTGTTGCTTATTGTCTGTTTAATTCTTTTGTGAACTTTACCATCTTCATAAGATCAGAGGATAAAGACTGAGAAACAAAAACGACAGGTAATACATTTAAGTTTATTTGGTGTATAAAGAAATATCATCGATGTGATGGTATTGCAGATGGTTGCCATTTATGTCGGTTGATCGCTGTGCATGCCAAATTGTTGATGCTATTCTGAGAGAGAAAAGTATCGCATTTGTGCCACATTATATTAGTATCATCGCACAATTGAAAGGGTAAATAAATAAATGTTCGAATATTTTTCGTATGCAAATGAACGAAGTTTTGAAATGAATTAAAATTTAAGTACAAAAGTGAGAATATTTCGTTGACATATTTCAATTGAATAAACAAAGAAATAGAAAAAAAAAAAATAAGAAAATATGAGATAGAAGAAAAGTAATGGATTATTAATGCTTTTGCGATCTTAATGGCGCTAATTACGACTATGCAGAAAGAATAGAGAAATAGTTTTTCGGTTTCACGAAGACCGTCTGAGTTGTGAGCAGTTCAGTTCCTTGATATGAATGATAGTCTTAATTATTACTATAAGCTATACCCATTATACCTTAATTCTGATCGCTCAGGTTGTTATCGGAACGTGTGGAAAGTGCCTGTCGAGAATATCTGAACTGTCGATATGAACCACTAAAACATGAAGAAGTGGAAATGAAAGAGATAACGATTGCCAAGAAAACGGATTACTTTAAAAAATTGGACGCTAGCAAGAAATATGTATTTTTTGTCGCTTATCTCATATTAGTGGTAATTTTTCAAAACTTTTAAATTGCTTTTAAATTCATATAGTGGGTTTTACACACATATTTCATTTTACTATCTCTCCATTTATTTAAAAAAAAAAAAATAAACTGACAATAAATTTAATGAAACAAGAAAATAAAAAGTCATAATTCCAGTTTTTTTCATCCAAATTCTCCACTTTTAGTTTCTTTTTTTGCTTGATTTTAACGTTAATTTTAGACCGGTTATTTGATAATGCAAGGTAATGTGCAAAGCATACTGCAAACATTGGTAATGTTAATCATTTCATCGAATTTCGTGCTAGCAGTTTGGGCATTGCATGTTTGTGATCAATTGCAATTCTCGTTTCCTTGTAAATTTCGATGGTTCATACAAATTTTCTGTTTTGGTTTCATTTCTTTTCTTCAACTTTATCGTTTTCGATACTCTTCCAGTAATAAAAAGGATTGCATTACATGAAAAAAACGTTCCTGTTTGGCTAATACAGGTTGAATTATATCTAAAAAAAAGTACAAATTTAACAAACGGATTTTGCTTCTAAAAATTATTCTATGAATCAAATTAGTCAAATTAAAGAAAGAAAAATTCATAATTATTAGAAAGTTAAATTTAATTTGAAATTAACTTTCTAATTTAAAATAGCATAATAGTAGATTTGGAAAAAAGGCTAAATTTGATTTGTCCATCAAAAAGTTTCGATCATTTTCCGATCATTTCCATTTGCTGTCTAACATACTATGTACGTTTTCTATATTATTCTGTCTTTCAATTATTGTTTGATAAAAAACATATTTTAAGATAGCTTTCCGTATTTCATTTTACCATTTATTCTATACGTCCTGAGGTGCTCCAATCGTAACCTCTAAGAGACGACTGCTTCCTGCGGTACTTTTGTCCACTGCGGCATCTATTAATAATGTAAAAATGATAAGTTGTAGCATTTGAGGAACACTTACTATTTATTGAACACCTAAGCATAGCAAGCATGGATCTAATTGATCATTTCACGCCGTACTAACGGATTATACGGAATCGGAAAGGAATTCCTGAAATTCCCCTTATCAATATGCAGCGCAGGATTCCTTTGATAAAGAGAAAAGTAGGGGAAACTTAGTTCACATTCTTTACGGGTTAAGAAGTTTGAAATAAATATCAGTCATTTCAAGCATCGATCCCGAAAATACTTATAGCTGATGACATGTTGTATTGCTATATATTCTAACTAGAAGTGTATTAAAACTGAGAAAATTTCAGGAAGGAGTAGAAAAAAGCCATGTCATTCTCGATCCAACCTATTCATTATACCACAGTTTCATGCTTCACTATTAATACAATTTCCTGTCATACTAACTGTCCCCTGATAGTTTGCTTACTAATGCATCATTTGTTAGTAATAGGCATTTCTTACTGAACATGAATGCCTCTAATCTTTTCAGAACTTTTTTAAAAAAATATCCGAATCCTCGGAATGAAACTTTGAATTTCAAAATTCGAATAGCAATGAACGATTTCTTCAAATCACCTCATCTGATGTGGTGGATTCTCGTACCAATTGCTCTCTTGATTAATTTTGTAAGCTTATTTTATTTCTGTTAAGTAAAACCTCTTTTCTTATTTTTCAGCATAGATGTTTACTCTTACGACTTTTTTTTAGACTTTAAACGATTATCTTATATTTTTAAAGTCAAACTTTACTACTACCATCTTTCTGGTAGATAACGATCAAGTGCCGTCCTTTTTCTATCAAATCATTTGAAAGCCCTCTGCACCAGGTATTTGGAGAATAATAACATTGAGAAAGGTTAGAAAATGATCAAAAAAAACAGAATGCGTTTCTTCCCTGAATCACACTTGCAAGTGATATTAGCAAATTCAGAAATTTAATGCCATAAAATTCTTTGTTGTGAAAGCAAAATAGTCAATGCACAAGAAATGAACGACCCACAAGAAGTTCTTCCTAAATCTCATTTTCCGGTTAATGAAATTCTATTTAGATGACATGGTATGATGCACATTGGTTCGGTCAGTTCGGTGTATCAGGAAAATTCTTGGAACTTCTAGGCGTACGTTTCCCATCATTCTTCATAGCAACCAACTTGTTCGCACTGATAGCACATCTCGGTGAATCAATGTATTCTCTAAAATTGTGCAATCTGCTGCGTATATCACGAAATAATACGTTAAAATGGATGCTGCAAACATTTATTCTTGGTTATCCATCACTACGAATACTTCTAAGTCGAAATGTCATGTCTCGGTATCGATGACAACTCATATGAATTTTTCATTCTGAGTGATAAAGTTGAAAGTAATCTCTTGAAAACTATACTCTTTCTTTTAGTAAAAACAAAATAAAACATATGAATGCTTTTTATGGTTGAATGAAACTCGAAAATTTCAAAAAGTTATGATGGAGCTAAGATAACATTACATAAGGGAGTGAAATCAAGAAATCTTGAAATTTGTCGCTTTCTTTTAAAACAAAACATCACACTTATACACTATGGCACATCGATCTATGCGGAACTGAAACTGATAGTTTAGTCTGATATCTAATCAGACTGATCTGGTATGGCATTTATCTAACTCACCACCATCTTTAGTTTTTGTAACTATTTCAGAAGTATTATTTCAAACGATACATTTCATCTAAATTACACATCACGACAAAGATCATCGATTTCAGTAAAAAAATTTGTTTGTTTCAGTGAAATTTTTTTGCCTTTGAACTGTTTGGTAAAAGTGATAGATTTCGATGTGTCTAGTACCAATTGTCACCTTTTGTCACCACGAATTGTCACCTTTGAGGAGCACTAAATTGATTCAATTGCAAAACAATTATTTGCTATCAACTGCGAGACTTTTTGATAACAGTGAAACTTCTCTTCAACTCATCTCTCTCCTATTCCACAATGTCAGTAACATGGACGAGTCACAAGTCACTCAAAAATTGAGGACATTTCTCTCTCTCTCCCTCTCTCTCTCTCTCTCGGAAGTTAACATTATTCGCATTCAGTTCTTCATCAGATCGCCACTGACAAATATGAAACGAATAAATAAAATCAAACAAGACAAGCTTAAAATAAAATAAAAAAAAGTTCATCTAACTCTTTCAAGTTGAATTCTTATACGGCGGCATGACAAAGTAATAAAAGCCTAAAAATGTTTTCTTCTCAATATCACTAAAAATAATACTACTCTAGATGAAATTTGGAACAATAGTACATAAAGTCTGTGGCTAAACTCTCGATCTCGAATAGATTTGCAACTTAAACGAGAATCAAAATAGTTGCAGAGTAATACATGGCATTCTTTAGCTTTTAGCCATTGCATCAATAACTAATTTTGTATTAAAGCATGCTTAAAAGGGTAAATCCCTTCAAATTTCTCTTCCATATTTCTTATCAATTTTTCATATTAAAAATCTGGCACTCATCTTTTGTTGGAACTAAAATCTATTATCGAAATAATCACTATGATTATCATTAAAATAATCACTATGATTATCATTAAAATAATCACTATGATTATCATTATGCCAACAAAATCATTTTAATCCAACAGTTTCTATTCTAAGCAATTTTTCAACGATTTAGAAGTAATGGTAAGGTTCATAATTAAAAAGTAAATGGGGTAAATACTTTTTTGAAATGAATTTGAACTAATCATTTTTTAGTGATCGAAATTAAGAAGGGTATCAGTAACATTCTTTATTAGAAAGGTCTTGGATAAGAAGAAACTAACTGTATATTTGTGTATTCTGATTTCACACCTTTAAAGAACTCCGCTCTCAGACAACTTTCTGCACTTTAGCACCTCTAATTCTCGGTTCATGAAGTCCCCTAAGTCAGTACCTGGTTTTTAGCCCACCATCTAACCAAAACAAAGTAATATAACTCTCAAACTCGGGTTCGAATATTCGGTGCAACGGTATAAGCAATAATTCTGAAATAATTACCAATATACATTTATATATGACTTTAATCACTCGAAATGATAAGCCACCCAGTAAACAACTGCAACCGCGGTATGACTCAAACAAGGTAACAGGCTTGTGTTCAGGTTGCTAATAGTTGTATGACCGCCCAGCTTTCAGTTGCTACCTTCTTTTCGGTTCCTCCGGTGCAGTCTACTTGTCAGGTTGTGGGTCTCGAGAAGTGCCGGGACATTTGCTAAGAGTTTTGACTGGGAGGTATTAATTAGATGTAAAGTAGTGCTGTACTTGAATATTTACGATATAGTGAAGCTATTTTGTCAGTTTATTTTGTCTCTTTCAGTGCATCTCTTAAACATAGCATTCTTTTCTGAATATTAGCACATTAATTTCTCAGGTATGAGTCGTGACATTGGTAGTAATAATAATGATCCGTACAAGGAAGTGATCCGAGGTGGGTTGAAATTGAAGAAAGGCAAATCAAAATTCAAGAAAAAGGCAAGTTCTGTATTTAAAAATTTATGGTAGTACAGTTCTGAAATAGTGCATTTTTTTAAGCAGTACTTACTAAAGGTGGCATTATTTTTAAATAGCTATTCGTGGGATGATATTGTAAGAGCCGGAAGGTGCTGCGATTTAAGTAATGTCATAAAATAATGTTGTAGAAAGCTTTCTGGATTATCTGTCTTTTAATATTCAGTTCTTTCCGGAGTAAAACTATTGTAATAAATAATAAATAATGGAACCTTTCAGTAGAATGGTATTCTCGAAATAAATGTAATAGAGGATAAACTAAATAGATTCTAGCCTGTTATATTTCTTTTATAAATTTAGTGAAGAAGGCGAATAATAATTCTGCTTAATTGCCTAAAATAATCGTATTTTCAGAAAAGAGAAAGTGTTGATCTGAAGAGTATTGATATAACTATCCACAAAGATGTCGATACGACAGTTACATATAAGACACCAGCAGAGATAGCATTTGAGAAGCGGCAGTTGCAAAATCAGGCGAGAATTGTGTTTTCTTAATTTATTCAATTTATTTAACAATTTTTTTTTTCAAGTTGCTCAGCTACAGTAGCAAAAACACATGGGAATGTTTGCAGTGATTGGATTTTTCATCTGGTATCACTAAATATTATACATGTTTCTGTAATACAGTGTGTATTACAGAGGCATTTTTAACAAATTTACGGTTTTGCATTTTGTCACATTTGGTTTCTTAGTTTATGAATTATTTTATTGTTATTTGCAACAGAACAATAACTCTGGAGAATTTAATGTTTATGCTATTATAGTTCGAACGGTTGGCGAGGAAAGCAGCTGTAAGTCATCGTGAAAAAGTTGAAAAGTTCAATCAACAAATGAGTGAACTAACCGAATTCAACGATATACCAAAAGTTTCATGGACGAAGTGATTACGAATTGTGTGGCAAGACTTGAGAACCAATTTTAGAAGTATTGCTTCCAATACTTTGCTATCTTATTTTATTTTCATCGGACATAATAAAATTTATAATTATAATTAATTATGTCGTGTAGTTGTATATAATATTACTGTAACTGTTCATACCGTTCTTTTCAGTCCATTCGTTATTTACAGTGATGATTATTTTTTAATTGATTATCACTCTCTGTTTTGTGCATTTACTTTTCTTGTATTTCATATCGTTTTGACTTCTTTCGAATAAATAAATGAATTGATATATTTTATACATGAATGTGAACTGGAAATCCATGGTAGTTGTTTAAAATTGTATGTGTATAGAACCATAATTGCAGAGCTTGGTAATTTAGTATAAGTGATGTTTAAAACAGTCGATCATCTTGTAATTATTTTAATTGATTTATAATTATTGTTTTAATCAATTTCATCACGATAACTGGAAGTTTTAGGATCCTAATATAGAAGGCTTTTTTTTTTTAAATTTTAATTTAAAAAGGGAAATTTTGTTTGAGATTGTTATTGAAGTTAAATGAACCAGTCGTTCAAAAGTGAGAAAGTGGTTGCCAAAGCTAATGAAAATGAAGCGTCAACTTCACATGTTGTAAAGGACAAGTTTGTACCATCCTACACATATAGCAGCTGGAGAAGGTATTGGATTGAGTCAGATTTAAATTAAAATATGCAGTTGCAATGCATAGCGGTCAGATAAGATATTAATAAGATAATTGGAGTGAAATGCTAGAGCTATAACCGTTGCAGGTTGCGTGATGTTTGCCGTACATTGCAAGAAACGCAGGAGATAGTTGCACTTCAACGAAAAAAACTGGATGTACTGTTGGCAAGTGAGGAAGAGTACCGTGAGCTGGTTAGAATTTCTTATTTCGAAAAATTCCGACTCGATATTTTATTTTATCAGGAATGCTTATCCTTAAATGTTATTTAAGGCCGAACGAGTACAATGCGAACAAGTTGAACTACAAGCATTGCGAGATTATGTAGAGAGGCAGAAATGTCGTATAATGACGTGTCGTATGAAATTAATTCATTTTAATGACGAAAAATTCCAGAAAGGTATTTAATTTCTAATAAGATTATTCGTATTACGTATCATTCATGAGATTAGCTGAAGAATTATCATATTAAAACTGGGCAGTTAGCCAGATCACTTTTTCATTCTTACTGACATCTCAATAACTTTTAAATCGAAGCAGTCGTAATTGAGAAATGAACAATATTTTAAAACAACAGATATTTATTGATTTAGGATGATTTAGGATGAGTTATTTTGTAAGTCGAACTTATTACAAAAATAAAAAGAATTTTTTTTTTTCATTTTCTAACCTCTGGTTCAATCAGAAAGTTATTATAAATTTGCCGTTTAGTTTTAACAGAATCACCTCCAGACTATGGAGTAGTTTAAGAGTAATTCTAATAATAATTATTGCTTGCTTACAAATACTTTCTAATCTTTCGTCTTTGCTGAATATTTGCAAGTATGTTGTTACAGATGTGATGACTAATAAACGATCAAACGAAGTTATCAAAATGCAGGAAGATTTATTAAAACGGAAAGCAGCACTTTCTTTGGCAAAGTATGATCTTTGAGGAATTTTTTTTGATGAATGATAGTGCAAACTTTAGAAGTTTAAAGTAGGTCAATTTGGCTTGTGATAAACTGTTCCATTAACTTTATAAGTGAAAGGATTAGTTGCTTATTTAATAGCTTTGAACAGAATCTGCTTGACACATTAAAAACGCTTACATCCCATAACTTATATATAATATTTTGCGAAATCATTGATATTGTTTATCAGAGATAATTTGCTCTTGATCGCTTCACATCTGGCCTGGCGTCGAAGGAAGATGGTTGATGATCTGATGCATATTTATGTCATTAATTTAAATACATCACCAAAAGCACGTTTGATGCCTTCATCGTGTGCTTGTCATTCGATAGCCTGTATTACTGGTCTTCATCTTCCGGATGCTTTATCTTTTCTTGGTTAATCCTTTAATTTCATGTTAGAGGTACAATAATGTCGCAAAAGAAAATTTGGTGCAAATTAATTTATTTGTTGCAAATTTATTAAGTTATCAAATGATTATAGTCATGTGATCTGTCATTTTTAGGACATTCTGATATAGAAGTAAGTGCTGCTGTAGGGTATGTTGTTCAGACGTTATCCTTACTTTCTCGAATATACAATTTTCCATATCAATACGGCATGTTTTTCTTTGGCTCAAAATCAACAATAAAAGATCCAATACTTGAGGAGACGTAAGTATTTATGTTTATTTTATTTCTTCAGTTGATCATTAACACTTAGTTTTTAATAACTTGCAATTAAACTTTCCTCCAGATATGGATGCCTGGATTTTTTCATTTCTGCGAATTATTTGATAGCTGGTATTTGTTTTTGATTGGAAAAACTTAAAAACAAGTGTTATATCGTAGTTCATTAAAAATGTCCATGTATTTAGATATCCTCTGTACGGTATGACACGGAATCGTGAAAAATTTGAAGAAGGCATATCGCTGTTAAATAAAAATATATCGCAGCTTCGTTGGTCATTTGGTATAACCACGAAAAGAGTAGGACGGACTCTGTTTAATTTGCAGGATTTATTGCTGCACATTGTTAGTGGAAGGTGATTTTGTAGAAAAATTGATTTCAATATTTATAGCTAACTGAGCAAAGATTTGGATGAAAATTAAAATAGCTGGTATTGCAGTATTTTTATTTATGAAGAATTAAGATTTTGTGGAATAGGATTGCTTGTGTTGCAAAATTGAAAGTAACATGGGCAAAGTTATGTATACATAAAGCGAAAATGTTCGATAATTTTAATCCAATATAAGAAATGGGAAACGTTGATAATCAGTTATAGTTCACATTTCAGACATGACAGTTCCACGGATTCAGTCCTTCAAATACCGTCAATTAGCTGCAGAAATGTTGGGAATGTAGATATAACTTTGCATAAATGTGCAGAACGAAATAATGAGTTTAATCAAGAAAATGAATCATCAAAAGTGGATCCTCCAAGCATTTGTAGGTGCTAAATCTGCATCATTATTTGTAGGTACTCATTTTTCTCATTTGTATATGTTCTATTACAATGACAAATCTGCTGGACCATTTGTTGTAAAACAATAATAACCCATTTGCATTTGCTTTTTTTTTTTCTGCATTAGGTTTCTTCAGAAAACAGTGAGGAAAACGAGAGGAAAAAATCCCTATAAAAATTCATGTTCTTACATTTTTTTTAAAAAATTTTTTGATCTTCTGCAACGTTGAATAATGGTGTTACATCAAATTAATTTTTTGAAAATTTAGTAGTTAAGTTTTCTGAATCTATTGTAATTTTTACAATAACGCATAAAAATTGCATGGATTAAAAATGAATAAAATTAAAATTAAAAATATAAAATTTTTTCGAGAAATCTTTACCTAACTTTGTCAAACTGTTTATCTGTCTTATGCACTATTGACTTCTTTAATTTGCACAAAACATTCAAAAATATATTTTCGTATTATTATTATTGGGTAAATAATGCACCGCTATAAATGATTTTTTTTTGCATTATTTCCAAATACTTTGGAATGGTTAAACTGGTGCATAATATTTATGGATTTATTTCCACTCATTAGTGGTTTGTTTTATTTATCATGTGCAGTGGTCACATTTGTTAGTGCCATACTATTTTTAATCTTTTCCTCTATAGTTATTTATGAAAGAAAAGTTAGTTTACTGAAATGTCCTTTGTATTTGCATTGGTCTAAGTTACTTTATCTTTTTTAAAATACCTTCCATAGTTTTTGAATCGAAATGGTTCAGAATAGAAAATGTAATTATTTTCGATTGTAATACATTGTGTTGAAAACCAAAGCCTGTCACCAAAATTATCAAAAAAAAAAAAAAAGAAATATTAATAAAACTTCACTTCACCGTTCCGCATTAGTTTTGTTATTTGAATTTTACCTTGCTATTCCCTCTTCTTAACTATTTTAGGAATAGAACTACTAACAGTACTAAGATTTTATTTGGATTTGATGCAAAAAAGAAAAAGCATCCTATTTTCAAGTGATTATGATGACAAGTTGTTAATCAAATTCTCGTGTGAAATTTTCTGTGCCTTATATTTTGAAAAATTCTTTTGTTTAAAAAAGAATTAATGTTGTTTATTTTTCTGATCTTTTCTAACTTAATAGCTTCTTTTTCTTTTCATCCAAATTGTTTGCAGTAGAATGAGGAAATGCCAATAATTGCCAATGTCCATCCAATCAGTGATGGAAGTAGAAATAAATCATATTCACCTCAAAGTAATTTATATCCAAGATTCTTGTTTGTAGCAATTGAAACAACAAAAAAAAAAAAAATTGCTTATTTTTGCCACTCCTAAAATCTATACTTTTTCTAAGATGGTGATTTCGTTGACAGCTAGTAATATTTTTATGATATTATGACGAGACGAGGTGAATGTTATCTATCATAGAACAGGTATGGATTATTTCCTTTCTTACATATATGATAATTTTAGCAACATTTTCCTTATACATTATAATTCTGTGCTTCTTCACTCAGTATATTTCCTTCATCCTTAATTACTTCCATCCTTGCAATATTTCGCTATGCTCACTTATTATATGTTAACCAAGTATACATGTATTATTGTTATATACCTGTGTTCTCGTTATGTTTAACTCTTAGGATAGTAAAACTTCGCATCACAGCTTTCAATCAATGATATCATTGTCGGTCAAAGGTTGTAACCTTTTTTTTTTTCTTTCAAATTTATAAAATCAGATTTAATTTGCTTTTATGATTCGATTTAAAGCTTAAAAATTTATTATTGCAATCGTTACTTATTAGTCTGGGATATATTATAACTTGATATTTGCTTGTTATTCAGTGCCACAACAGTATGTAGCAAAAGCGAGTGAAATGATCGTTGGAGTGTTAAGAATATTTTGTAATTTAATTTGGAAATCTTGAATTACTAGCATTTGCTTATTGGTATGGAACACCGAATGTACTACTGTTATTTGTTATTTGGAAAGATTTCAATTTTTAAATTTATTTCCAGTCATTTCTCTGTCACTGGAAGTTGTAACTCTAGTATCACTCATATGCAAGAAGAGCAAATTGACGAGGATGAGAAGAGTGATAGGATGGAATCTGACATCGAGGAAATGTTGCTGGAGCCACGATTCAAATATTCCAGAATTTTGAATAATGTGCCTGGAGTAAGTATCACATGTTGTTGTTCTTAAGAAAAGTAGGGTTTAAGGAATTTGAGGAAAAGATCATTGCTGAATTCTGCAAAAAAAATGCAACGAGAGAAACTGAATCCTATAAATTTAAAGAACCTTATGCAAATGTCTACGGCAAAATGTTTCTTATTGTTATGTTAACAGATACTGAGAAAGGATATGGCAACTTGTATGGCAATACATGATAAGTTCGCTGCACTGGGTAGTCATTCCGGAAATGTATATATCATTGATCATTTCGGAAGCTTACATCCAGAAAGTGTTAGCTTTAATTCTTCCGTTCCATCTAGCATATGAATTGCCGAAAAATGAATCATCAGCCAAATTTCAAAGCAAAAATTCACAGATTATTTGGCTTGTTTGAAATTTTACTTCCATGAAACGAATGCGTCTTATGCATGTCCTTAAATTATATCGGAATTTTCTGCTATGAAATTTGTTTCTTTAATAGATAAACTTGCTATTTTTGTAAATATTTGTAAAATTAGAACTACTCATTCAGGGATTTAAATTGCTGGCTTTTCAAAATAAAGTGAGTTTAAAAGAGAAATTTATAAAAAAAAAAAAAAAATTAGCATGTTATGCAGTCGTAGATTTAGACAGCACGCCATCATCGATGTCCCGTTACAAAAATATCGATTGATCCGACCGGATCATACTTTGTCAGTTGTTCGCAGGATGCTCGAATCAGTGTTGCAGGAATTACTTCCTTCGAATTTGCTCAAGTATTGTTTAACGAACAATTTTTTTTAGTTTTTGCTTACAATGTTATTACTTGAAATTTATTAGGATATTGTTTATTTTAAAGCACACTATCTTATGTGTTATTTATTAGAGAGGGAGCATTATTTATTTGCAAGTATTTCGAATCCTTAAGAAAAACATAAATAGAATACATTTTAAGCGGAATTCTTAATTAATTTTAAGAAAAATATCAGTATTGGAAGAACACAGTAAATCTTTTTCTGAAAATAAAATTAATTTTAAAAGCAGCACGAGAGAAACTTTCAAAATTTTATTTCTTCGTTTAATACTATGATATGAAATGGTAGTAGAATGCTATTGCTGTTAAAGAACATGTGATAACTGTACAGCACTGGTTAACATATCGAGCGAGATATGTTGTTTGCTTTCTTTACCCATTACTTCCCTTCTGTAAGCAGTACTCTTTAAGTTTAAAACTATATGAGACGCTGTATTATTGTAATTGCAGATTATAGATTTAAAGATAGCTGCACGATCGGTAGCAATAGATCCGGACTTCACTAAACGTGGTTCAGGTCATATGTTTGTGAGTGGGGAACGGAATTTGTTGCTGCATCACCGAACATTTTTCGGAAATTACAGAGAAAAGGTTGTCGTCTATATGATTATAATTTTCGAAGTACATACTCGTAGGTCATTTTATATGAATTCTGTTCCCTAACAACTGCTCTTTTCCTTTGAATTTTATCGATTGTTGGGGGTACAAATAGTTTCTAACATTATATCAGTAATATTCACTACAACACAATAAGATTGAGTATCTCAAAACGTATCATTGATTATCATACGGTAGTTTGTGTCAGTGATTAGATCATACAGTCCTTTCAAAATTCTATTAATTTGTGCAATTCAGCATAAATGGTCATTCAAACGAGAAACAGGTACTTTTGCTACTGTTCATATTTTACTTTAATTAAATGTAACCCTGCTTTGTTCAGATATTATATGAAGGTATGGACTGTGATGGAATAATTGCGCAAATTTCTTGGCAAGGTTGTTGCATTGCTTTTACAAATGAAACAGGAACTAGGATATTTGATAAGTAAGTAGTAGATAATTTCTAGTCTTACTTTATTTATTGAATCTACAGATGTTAACTATCTTTATATGATTTCAATTATTGATAATGATTGATCAATCGAAGAAAATATCATTTTTCATTAGGTTACTTTAACCTCCTTTTTATTATGACTTTTTGATAAGCTCAAATTTTTGTTTTATTTCCGAAATGCGAACCAGTTAATTGCATTAGTCCAACCTACACATGAAAAACAATCAACATTTGCAATCAAAGTTCGTCCGTCTCACTGTTGGATCAACAATGAAACTCTGGCAATCGGATGGTACGATACTATTTCCATATGTATGATTATCGGTTCATCTGATTCACAGGCAAGTTTTTACACTTCTTTTTTTCAAACTTTTAATAAGCTTGGATTTAGCTCTTTTCATAAATTTGTTGTTAAGGTAGTTTCATCCATCGAAAAGAAAGAAGTGGAAGTGCATTACGCTTGGAAATTCGATATGTATATAGCTGATATTTCGTTCACTCTTAGTGATGATAAATCTTGTTTCTGGAAGGAAATAACAGTTTTCGGAATGAAGAAGGCAGCCGTTGAAAATGTGCATTTTTTTTTATTTATTTCATGACTTCTTTTCGCAATATTTAAAACATCCTATTAGGAGTTTATTTAATTGAGATTTGATTGATAACGTCGTCGTCTTAAATAATCTGTTTTAAAAAAGAAGGAATAACTGCTTCATTTTCTTTCTACTTCTGGAAAAATTCTGGAAAAAAAGCTTTACTTATGAGTGAAGAAATATTTGATTTATTGATTAGAGTCTATCTTAAAATGTTTCCGTTATGATTCATTTGCAAAATATTTTCAAACTTATGCAGAATGAATGTGAGATGGTACTGGCATTATTGGAACCTGAAGATTCAAGCACATTTAGTTTGACCACCGAAGATAGAATTGAAATGTGTACTTGTGATCAGGGCAACCTGACTTTGTTCCATATGTCTTCTATTCCACATGAAAATGTGTACTTTTTGCTTGGCTGTCAGGAATTCATTGAGGTCAGATTTTTAAAAAAAAAAACAATTTCTCGTCCTTAAATCGATATAGATTGAAATTGTACAAGGATGACATTTAAGACATTTTGGTTGGTGCATCTGTGAGTAAAAGCATCACAACGATACTAAGCTGCATACTAGTCTTAATAGGAGTTTATTTAATTGTGATTTGATTGATAATATTGTAAACAACTAAACAGTTGTGATAGAAACATTGGCTACAACTAGTTGCTTACAACTATCTGCAGCAAAATAAATGTTAAAGGCTCAACCATGTTCGGCCGATGACCGAGTACGATGGTATTTGGAGAATGACCTGCTTCGTGATGCAATGCAATATGCAAATGAGCACAAAGCTCAACTTGAGCATTTAGATCCTGTCGATATTGGAAGGCGATACTTGAACTCTCTCACTAAACAGAAACGTTTCGCTGAAGCAGCGGCAAATCTTCAAGCAGTTTGTTTAGAATTTATTACATAATTTTATGAGAATCTCCAATTATAAAAAGTATATTCTGAATTTATAAGATAGTAAAAATTTTTACCAAGTGAATCATTTCATCATTTCACTGTTTTTCCTTTTTTTGTTTTTAATATAGAACAAGATATTCCCTATTAATTTTAGGTTGTTTCCTTATTAGATCATATTTTAGGTTGTTTCCTTATTAGATCATATTAGATCATTATTAGATCATGTATGGATATTCTCTCATAAAAAATTTCATAATTTCAGCTACCATTTAGTCATGTTTAGTCGATTTGCTCTAGTTTTCATTAATATATCATTGAGCTTTACAAACAGACATGCGTCCACTTTATTCAATATCATATGAGCAGTTTGAAAATTTGATGTTTAAGGTCTGTGGACGTCAGAAAGATCTGTGGGAATATTATGTAAATGAATTTGAACAGAATAATGTGGTCCTTCAGTTGGCAAAATATCTCCCAGTAAGGGATCCCCAACTGGAACCGGAATGTTACCAGTGTGTACTGATTGCTGCATTACATAACCATCCAGTTTTGTTTTATAACCTGATCAAAGTTTGGAATCCGGATTTATTCCGAGTAGGTTGGTATCTTAATTACTCATTACCGTCTATTTACGCACATTATAGTTACGGTGAAGTTTTCTGAATAAGGAATGCAGAAGGAAGAAGAACATTCTCACTTCAAATTAAAATTTATAATAGTTTAGGTGCAATAACGGATATGGCAATGAAACGGATTGTACATGATAATGTAAATCCACTATCAGAAAATGATGCCGTAGCTATTTATCGATCACTGGCTCGTCTTTATCTGTATGAACGAAAGTATGATAAAGCTTTGATGCTTTATATTATGTTAAACGATAAAACTGTTTTCCAGGTCATCGAGAAGTATCACCTTTTCGACCTGGTAATTCTTCGATCCTCTGTGTATCAACCATTCCAGTTCCATTCGGAAAATTTAATGTTTCTTAAAATACAGCATTGTAGTAATAAATGTTTAGGAATATTCGTGTTATTTACCTTATCCCCTCGAAAACTGAATCCTGAGCAGGTTATAAAATCTGACAAATACAAGTGGAGAGTAAAAGGCTAGAACAGATGACATGGATACTTGAGTTATATCTTTATGCCGCAGGTTAAGAATGATTTGACAAAACTGATGGATATCGATACGAATCTGACAATACGATTGCTGATTGAAAATGCCGGAAGTCTTCCAACAAAAATGATTCTAACTCAGCTCGCAATGTATCCAAAATTGCAGGTTTGTTTTTCTCTTATTTTTATGTTTAATTTTTAAAATATTTGAAAAAGCAAAAAATTATAATCATTCAAAACAAAATAATGTATTTCAGTTGGCATATTTGAGCACACTATTTGAGAGAAATGAAGGCGAAGAATTTATCGATTTTGCCATAAAACTATATGCTGAAAATGAACCACAACTTCTTTTACCGTTCCTCCGAAAAACAGCAATCTACGATATAGCAAAAGCCATTGACATCTGTGAAAAAAAGCAATACATCAATGAGGTTTACTGATTTGATGCTTTAATTGTTAGTTTTTAAGTTTTTGATCATCTTGAGAGATAGTATGAATAGTGTTATTGTAGTAATATGTCAAAGCTCAATTCACAGGCTAGAGTAAGCAAGTTAAAGCCTGGAGTTAGTTAGCTTGGTATTAGGTCATAGCATAATATCATTACAAATTAGCAGCTTTATCGAGCAAAAACTTTAGCAGGTGATTTTTTTTTAGCAGTGATATGATTTGCAGATGGTTTATTTGCTGGGAAGAAGTGGAAATCGTATGAAAGCTTTAGATTTACTTGTAAATAAGCTTGGTCGCATTGATAGTGCAATTGACTTTTGCCGCGAAAACGATGATTCCGATTTATGGAATTCACTAGTCGATGCAGCTGTGAAACGACCGGATCATATCATGGAACTTTTGAATACTGCTGGAAAATATGTTAATCCATTAAATATTATTGAGAAGGTTCTTTTTTTCACTTAAATATGTAGTTTTGCATTTCTCTGACGTAGTATGTATTATCACTATTATTAGTTTTATTCTTAAAATTCAAATCCTTAGTATTTTATGGGAGATATATTATGGAGATGGTTCTCAATTCTCATATAAAAAAGCTCATACACAAAATGGAAACCTGGAATACCTATGTCCAGTTATGTTAGATCAATAGTAAGGGCAGGGCATTAACAACTGGACAACTTTGACGATCACTTCCTATAAATCTGTATTTTGTTTTACGACTTTAGGAGTTGAAAGATGGGCTGTTTCTGTAAGTGAGAAACTGGTCCATTTAGATAATGGTCCGATTTTGAGTATACTGCTTTCCAGAATAACATATACTATTTTGTCACAAAATTTTTAAGTTTCCAGATTCCTGAACAGATGAACATCCCTGGTTTACGGAATTTATTAGTAACAATTTTACGTGATTATGAACTACTTGTACAAATGCAACGCGGCTCTTTGCAAGTAACAGAAGCCGACAGTAATCATCTTTTTACAAAATATTTATCAAATCGTAAATGTTCGACTTTTATCAGTTTCGAGCAATGTTGCATTGTATGCAGGTGAAACAACTTCTTCATTGCAAAATTAACACAAATTAAATTTGAAATATCATTGGCCAGTAGGCTTTCTTTTTGTTTCTGTTAGTGACTCGATTTTAGGATAACTGTACTGCTAGAACGCGAAAAGTCCACTGACTGCAGACATGCGAATTGTGATATCATTGTTTATGATTGTGGACATTCAGCACACATCCGTTGTATATATGTCCCTCATTCAGATGGACAAACAGTTATGGAGAGTAGATGTCCTATGTGTTATGGATTGCATTTATATGGAAAACGTTAGCAGTTTATGGATACTCTTGGAGATAATCCTTCCCAAGAAATCACGTATAAAGAATTTAAAATATTGTGATATCGTTGATAAAACCAAGTCATTCAATGAGATCAGTTTTATTAACTTATATTTTTGTAAATAAAATGTTTGTATTCTTTTTCCACAGCTAAATTTTATACTTCAAATATAAGAACTCATTGGATGTTCCTCAACTTTATCTTCCATGTATCTAATCAACAATCACACAAAATATTTCGGAATACAAACGCTATTGTTAAATATTATTTTTCAATCATAAAAAAAGCATAACTGCAAAAGCAATTCTATCATCGGATGGATATAGCAGTCTGATCAGGAAAAGTTAATGTCTTGTAATTCATTTTCATGCACAATCTTAATACCCGTAAGAGTGCCTTAATAACTACTGCTTGTTGTTAATCGACTATATAAGTCATTTTTGATTTTTCAGCATGGGAGAGATTTTCGAGATGAATTAATAACACGACAGTACATAAAACGGAGTTTCAGTGAACTGGAATCGTATATTATTCGTCAGACAAAAAAAAGTGCAAGAATTTAATGAAAAAATTTGGGAAAGTATAAGTTGAATTTTGCAGATATAAGGAACCAAAAGAGGAAGGGAATTCCTCTGTTGATGGTGACACATTTGACTCCGAGAAGCTGAAGAAAGAGAATGAGAAGACAAAAACATAAACCTGGGAAAGGTACCTATCTCAGTATCTGTATATGTTCTGTTCCCGGTGTTAAAAACATAGCAAATGGGTAATTATTTTGCCGTTAAACATAAATAAAGACACAGGTCTCAATGTTAGAAAAGAATCTTTTAATTTCGACTTTAGAATCATTAATGATTGTCGAAGGTTTTACAATGAAGAAAAAATTATATTTGGACATTAAGTTAAGCCTGATGAGAAATAAATGTACTAATGTAATTGTACTGTAATAGTCATTACTGATCATGAGACTGGAATGACTCGTAACAGATGGAAATCTGTAAGAATGAAAAAAGTAAATAGTATTCAAAATAAATAAATATATGAGAAAAATACTAAAAGGAAGAGATGGAAAACAGTGTTAGGTAAGCAAGCTGCTGATGGATGACAATCTACCTTAACCCACATTTAATACAAAATACATTATAACATGAATTCGAACTAAGAGGTGAAATTAACATGAATATGATCTAATCTGTTTGAAATAATAAACAACGATAAGTCTCTTTCTCCCTAGATAAATCATACTACAAAAGTGAAAGAACCATATAGTGTCATTACTATCGCGAGTACTGTACATATTTTTATTATAAAAGGCAACTCTGGTGCTATGAACATAGTAGAATGATATGTTAATGTTGGATATCACCAATATTTCAAAAAATACAAAGCATGCTAAACTTGCACAGCATGCGATACATAGCATGTTAAGCTTATAAACATAAGATAATCCTTATATGGGAAGATAAATGCATTTCCGGATATCCCATCCGTTAGCTATTTTTTTCTTCACAATTATAGTGTCCGGTATACAGACTAACGGCAAGAAAAAAAGTCAAGCACACCTATCAAAATGTTTTTCTAATGAGAAAGCTGAGACAGTAATGAAAAAAATATAATATCTCCATTCAACGAACAAAGGAAAAATACAACATATTCAATTTATTAAATGAAGTTAATATTTCAGTAACACAATTAATGCTATTACCAGCGAACTATTACTTATGAGACCTCGGAAATTATTCTTAGTGACATGCATCAGTAGCAAATGTATCCAAGTCGTCGGTCTGTGGATTAAAACATTTTAAAATAGCAAATAACCAATGTCCGAACGCTGCGCCCGCAATTACAGCCATGGTTAGCCAAATATTATACGTCATCGCGATAAGCATCAAACAATATGCCAATGTTAACTGTACAAAATAAAGCACTGCCTATAATAATACACTATTCAAATGTTGTACTACGTTCCTGTCAACATTTCACAATCTCTTACTATATCTGAAGTTAAAGAAGGAAAATAATAAAGTGCTGAATGTGTACATACTTGCAAGAATCGAATTTTCGCAGAAATCTCTTCCTTTGTTGTTCTGAAAAAAAGTACGACTTTGAGTTTTAAGTATACAAAACAAAAACCAAATCTTCAAAACCCTTTGGATATACTCCGACAACAATAATCAGTTTGGATAACTTCGACATTGTCCTAACGCAAATTAAAATATCCAAAGAAATAGAAAACTCCGTCTAAAAAAAAGAAAAAAAAAACTGAAATACTCTTCAAATATTAACACACTATGCAAACCTTTTGGAGATCTGGTGATAATCAGATGGTAGAGTGGTCGTCAGAGGTGCTGATACAGATAAGCGATTGCAATCAATACGTTTTTCATCATCTTGCTTTACTTCATCTTGCTTTCCTTTATCAACTGCATGATTGCAACTCGGTGGACATCGTGCAGCAGAAAGCTGCAGATAAACACGAAACCATTTAATCCACTCATAAAAACAAGCCATTATGAAAATCAGCACACAGGAAAGCAAGAGACCTGCAATTACTACCAAACAGTATTATGTTACTCATGAAACTGTTCCGTTTAATTCTTTCATGTTATTTCCACCTTTATAAGATAAATAAACGTGAATTGATATAAAGAAGTAAAAAGATGAACTGATTAACTGATTGCTTGCATAAGGATAAAAAAGAATATCAACATTTAACAAAAATACATTGAAAGGTAGGAATTGATCTTCTCCTCTAAAGAAGATAAATGATCAGTGTGATTAACAAAAGCATTAAAAAACTAACCATACAAAGATTCAATTTGCCAAAATTCGAATAAAATTGTTTCATGATAACCAGAATGAAACCACATCTTCATAGTATGCTCGCCATGCTGATGGTTATGTCCTCCATCGTGCTTCATCAACTCATCATTCATTCCATGCATGTGGTGATGGTGCAACTGTTCACTATATCCAAGTACTTCGTCCTTATTCATTATTTCAATATTATGTCCTTGATTTCCTTCAAAAGAATAGGCAAAGTGTATTTTACAGGTGACAAACACAGACGAACATACGAAAATATTTCTCGCTTCTTGCTTTTAAGAAAGATCAAATTGAGGATAAGCATGTCCAGATTAACGCAATGATGATATAATTTCAACAAGACATCATTAATTTCACCTCACCTACATCAGTCTTATATTTCTTTCTTTTAACAACGCCTTCCGGATATACTACAATGTGAATGACACCACCGGAACTTTAGCTGATGCCGGGCAACACAACCAATGCTACAGTGTGGTTTTTGTTTCGTAAAATATATCTTTCTACTGATAACAAACATAATCAAGTAAATTAAGAGCACCTGGTTCCTTATAATCATTCGCTAGTTCATCCAAAAAGCTTTTCACACTACTTAACCGATCAAACCCTGAAAAACGACTGGTGTTTGTCGGAGATGCATTCAACCTTCCATGTTCAGGACTCAGTACAGTACTCATGATTGCCTGAAATATTCTAAATCCTACAGCCGAAAAATTATTTCCATCTGCTGCATATAATCGATAGTCGTAAAATATTCGTAGAATAGCAAACACAGCTCATTGCCATAATGAACCAATTATTTTAGAAATCTCTTTCGAAACTTATACTGTTATATCGTTCCAATCACGGAACTGAAATGAAACTAAGTCAGGAGAACCGTCCATCAATTACTACTATCCAAAAAATTGAAGAAAATTCTAGTAGATTCAAACACAGCGAATTAATCCACTTCCTTCTTGTATGAAAACCTAATACGTGAACTCAAAATAAGCGACTTTATATACAGTCCGAACAGAATTAAAAACAAAAGAATGAATCAATCAACTTAGAAATGACACGTAACAAAAGATGAAAGAAGCAGTACTCATATGTAGATAAAGCTGCTTAATACTTCGTGATACATAATGCTGTTGTAGACAACTTTATCGAGACAGATTAGCTCCTTAACAAAATTCCAAACATTCGTCCACTTCTGAAACCTAAACTAGTGCTCTAATGAAGTTACCATTAACAAATAATTAATGGAAATCAGATGAAAAATATAAAGTGCATGAATATAAATAAAGTTAATGTAAACTACAACAATCGCTATCAATATGTTCAAAAAATGAAAAAAATGGAGCATAAAATAAAAATATAAAATGAAGGCACTTACAGGTTAAAAATTCTGAAAAATAACTAATAAATAACAGAAAAAAAAAAGAGAAAAAAGGTTTCCCGATCGTGTACGGCAATCATCAAAGGGAAAATATGAGCTAATGTTAAAACAAAAATGTTAGTGAAAGCACTGTCATCAACGACAAAAATTTCTACTCTCTCATGCTTCAAAGAGTACACACCATATTTACATATTAAAATATATCACTGTCTCTTTGTACAACCGTATGATTTTTCATCACTGGAAAACACATTAAAGTGAATATATTGTTAGGATTTTTGCATGTTAATGACTTCCGGCATTCAAAAAAAAAAATTCATTTCATTTAGTTTCAAAACATCTATACATCAAATACCTCATATCTCTTGCAAAATCCTTCAGAGATTCATTATCTAATCACTAATATCAGTCATATTTTTAAAAAGAGATATCTGTGTTATAGAAAATAAAGGAATAAAATATTATGCTTACAAGTCTATCTTTCGAGGCAGTAAGAAAAGAATTTCATGGATTGAATTGAAATCCTTTACAACAGATTCGATAATTCTATTCAGATATTTCAGACAAATGCTATTCCTTCATATTTGAACTTGCCAAAGAGTGGCATTTCTTCGAGCAAGATATGACCCATTTCATGATTAAATACTGTTATGTAACTGGCTACTGGTAATGTGTCTTTTTCCTCCGATTTTAATGCCACAATTATTCGATCACTAGTACCAGGAACAAATTGGAAAGCTGAGAAGCCTCTTGTACTGCTTAATGGCCCAATCTGTTGATATTTTATGTCAGAAAAGTCCTCCGAAGCAGAAAGCAAATAATTAGTTCCTGAAATAGGGAACATGTGTATAACAATAAGCTAACTTAGTCCATTTGTTTGTCATACTGAGGTCTTCAAATCCGATCTATGTAGCTAACTAGTTGAATCCAGAATATCTCTTAATTTCATCTTCTCATATGTTAATCTAAGTGGTAGCAAAACTCGAAATTTACTTGATATAAACTCAATACACTACTGTATTTCATCGCAATGTAATCCAATCGTGTACAGCTGTGCTATATTGTCTCCTTATTATTACAAGTAGGGTAGGTAGGGCAAAACTGTTTAGGGGTACTCACATTCAGAATATGAATCATTAAAAAATCTATAGCCTACAGCCTAGTTCCAAATTTCCAAAAATTCAAAGAGTATGACGATTAGGTCTACTAACCTCTTTCTTCATCCTCTACTTCGTTGTATACTTGCTTACTAGCTCTTCTGGGCAAGAAGAACCACTTTTTGTAGATTTCTGACCACTGAACTGATTCGTGTACCATATAACCAGGCCACTCAATCCCAACTGCAGAACGTAATTTCTTGTATTCATTAACCCAACTGATATGCTCGACACTACCCTCGGGAGTTACAAGCTGAAATCTTTTAAAAGAGACTATTCTCAATTAAGTTTATAGAAACCAGAAGCGACGGATGAGTTTTAGTGATAATAAAAAAATTTTTAATTCATTCAACCCAATATTCGATTATTCAGTATAATGCGTCTTTTGTATAAAATAAAAAATGTTCCGAAAAACCGTCGGATGATTTCAACAACTTCTATTATAATCACAGCCGTCATTTACAGTTTCCTACAAACCACTAAATCGGAAAAAGTTAATAAGTAATATCAAAGTTTCCCCATGAACTATGAGGCTGTACCTTGATCCACATAGGATCCTCGTTGTCAAATACACCTTCTGCTGTTGTCCACTCTTTCCCAAGGCCACCGACGTAAAGATTACCATCTTTCACCGTCATCCATTCACCTTTGAAACCTTTGGTTGCATTTCCAGCACCATCACTGAGGTAAATCTTGAATTGATGCAATTCTTTCATGCTATTGCAAAAGTAAAAAATTTTCAAAAATAGAGTTCAGAAAAAATGACAAGATCTTTACAACAGAAGTCAAAAAGAACAAAAAAAAAAAAAATAAAAAAAAAACCCAAGGATAAGCCATGTCTTTTTCGATTCGATAAATAATTCCGGTTCGATCATCTATTGATAACAATTTACCATCAAAAACGACAAGATCAGATAGTTCCATCGACCGCCCACCACCAGCAATTGTCGAATAAAGTGAAATCTACATGAAAAACTTATGCATGCATACTGAGCCATTTTATACCACAGTTAGTAAAAGATATCACCAGTTTCAAGAAACCTGCACAACTCTCACAAACAATGATATCGGATGATTTGAATGGTGTAATTTTTATACTTCACAGAGAAAACCAAGAATTTTCAAAAATGCAATTCAGAAAAAGTGACAATAAATATATTTAATGCTCCACCTGTTCATTGCTATTCCATTGAAGAGATGCTTCAGTGTAATCCTTATTCACTGTGAGAATACCAAATTCTATGAAGCTCTGCCATTGATTTTCTTCTGTCGGATGCTTACTGCTCTTGTCAAGATCTGTCACAACCATTATACGAAACTGATGAGATCCATCAGCCAACAAAACTTCATGACCTATGTAAAAATCTTGTCAAGAAAACTGCCACCACATACGAAGATTATAACAAATATACAATAATCCTCTCAAAAATATCATTTGTTCAAAGCACAGGTGAAATGTTAGGCGCAATAAAAACGGTTCAACATGAACACAAAAAACTTTAGACATTGATAAGCTTGGAACAAATTACTTCAGTTAGCTCTTCACTTTCTCTGAGAAGAACAAAACATTGACTATGTGATCATAATAAAATCAATAGATGAATTAAAAGAATGAAGGCAACAAACATAATAAAATGGACATTCCTGTGGAAAATTACTAAAGTTACTTACCAAGCTGTGATGTATTATATGGTCGACGATAGCATCCAGGTTTCTGCATATTTTTGGTTAGTGCAATAAATGCTGCACATAAAGTGACTATAAGCACAGTAGTAGTAAGGGAGGAACCGGTGAATGATAGTCGGTGAATGCCATCCTTCCGAATTTTTGAACGTGTTTCGAGATTAACCATGTAATTGAAAATTGTACTAATTATGAGGGTTTGAGAGGACGTAGAAATCTAAAAGTAATTCAGGTAATGATATATATGTGTACTAAGTAGTAACAATCAACAATAAACACACATAATATTCAGACATTAATCTTAGTGATTAAGTGCTAAGAATAAACAACTGAATGGGAGAGATTGAAATTTGAGATGAATGAAAGTTTAGAACAAAATTGAAATACTTCTCGAGCCAAAAGATTCTAATCCAAAGATGGATGATATAAGCAGCGGAGAAAGTTGACATCTCATTTCTTCCAAGCAGATAAAACGATTAAAATGTCTAGGATGAGCTTTTCGAACAGATAGAGTTATCCATTTAAAATTGAAAACTCCTATATCCATCCCATTCCTCATAAATTTGAATTGAATTAAATTCTTCTGCAACTCGAACATAAGCCTTTTACAATTTACAAATTATTCGGTGACATCCGATCAGGAAAGGTGAGATGAGGTGTGGTGAAGTGAAGTGAAGTGAAGTTTTATTCATTGTTACCATTAATCTCTCATCTTTTAATTATCATAAGTTTATAATGATGAAGTATACCTGTCTACTCTAACAGAGACTCTTTTATAGTAGAATAAAACTGTTGTAGTTCATTCATTCTTGTCACTGATAATGATAAGACAACAGCAAGGAGTAGCTAACTCATTCTGTCTAATGTCAGTTTTTTGTGGGCAGTTTGGATAGCTGGAAGGGAAGGGAAGGGAAGGGTAAAGAATCCTGCCATCTCGTCTCATAGGTAGGTGGTGCCGGGTGATTAAGGATCCACTAGTCGGGCAAGTGACAGTGAAGAACAGCTCCTGAAGGACGGGAATGGTGATCTTGCATCAGCAGAAATGGGCAGAGACAGGCAAGTGCTGATAACAATTACTGATAATGCACTGTCGAACATTCAATTATCCAAAAAAAAAAGTAGTCGTAAGGGGTAGAATCTATGTACTTCCGAGAGGATTGATTCTCTATGAAAAATTCTCGGGAATGTACAGAAAGAAAATACTCTTTATTCAGTTATCAGAGCTGGTTGCAATCTGAAATTTGCAAAAGGATGGTCATAAATGTAGATAAATTCTCGGACATTTACAGCTATTTATGTCTTCTATTATGTGTCCACAATTTAAATACCTCAGTTAATTTTGTCAAATGACAAATTGCTCATTCTTCGAGTTTTCTTTCCAAGCTGAAAATTATCAATCGCAACAAACATATCAGCAAGATTGTATCACTACACCATAACAATCAATAATACAATTGCCGAAAAGTTAACAAAAGGACAAAAAGTCCACCATCACTGTCAGTTCAACAGTGAGTCGCGACAATTTATATCTCGAATGTTTTATTGAGGAGGAGAGAAAAAGTAATACTAGTTTCGTCCTCATCACCTCGTAAATTGTTATTCAAACAGGAATTTTATTGAGATAATTTGTGTAACCACATTTTGTGTCAATTAATGTTGGCTTGCAAATTCAAGTTAAATTGAAGTGCGTAATTATTTGACGTCTAGCAGTAGCTCTCCTAATATTTAAAATCGAAGTCGAAGAAGTTTATCGCTGCACGAAAGATGAGATAAAAGATTCCGGTATAGCTCAAATAAGAAAAACTGTGAGTTTAAATGTATTGCAGATCTACTAAAAAAACTAAAAGATACTCTTTCAAGATTATTTAAGTGGATTATAGCTACTCCCACTCTCTCTCTCTTTTACTTAATTATAACCTACATGTAAACATTGTCTGTATATTAATTCTTAAGTGCTCAGAAAGTGCCAAACATCACGATAACTCTAGAACGTGGAATGGTGACATGCAGGTTAAGAGGATGAACGACACTGTAGATTGCAGAGCACTGTTGACATACTGTCTCAAAGGATATGTTCAAGCATTCTCCATAACATTATTATTGAACAGATGTCATAAGAGTAGTTATGGGAGTCAGTAAGTAGTTCATTCAGCACGATCAGATGTTTCTTCTATTCTACGGCAGCACAAGTTTAAATGTTTCAGAAGCAAACCACATTCATAATTTAGTGTTAATTGTTTAATGATTATATGCTTTATACCGCATCAGTTGCAAATACTATCTTTTAAAGGAATTAAGGATGTCTATACTACTACTACTACTGTGAAACCTTGTGAAAATAGGGAAAACATTTTTTACACATGCAAACTTCAACGGGATGATAAAATGAGTCTGATGATCTTAGTCATAAAGAAAGAATAAAAGAGCAATACTGCTATATTACAGTTGCATCGAGGAGCAAAATGCTGCAAGTTCAAACGATATTAACGTATAACAGAAACGGGGTAATTTTATACTTGTTTGTACCAGCACCAACAGGAAGGTTTAATTTCGTGTCAATAATAAAATAACAATATCTGGGAAGACACCGAAATTTTTATAAAAGAAAGCAAAGAAATACAATCACAGTCTCAAAACAGCTAAAAACTGAAATGCAAAAGTAGTCCTATCATAGCTCATATGTGTCCTCCACTTTAAAGCTAAACAATATTTTTTCCAAAACTGAAAAAAAAAAAAGTTTCCCATAACAGGAGAAAGGCTGCAAAGGAAGAAACAACATATAGATCATCATGACAAATTTTATTGATTTTAGCGCCTTTCCAATGGTTCGGTAGTACCTGAAAAATAAGATGAATAAGAACTCGTAAGACAGTTCGAATTAAAACTTTTTATAATGATCTCTTGCAACAAATATCTCTCTCATACCTCATTAGACACAAATTGACGACTTGTAGCTTGAAAAGGGAATATATGTAAAATTATGAACATTATTTCAAATCATATACTTGATTAAAACGATTACGTAGATGAAATTGTTTAAAAACGAACTTTTTGGTCGTGGCGTTGGTTTTTTAATCATTGGGCCCGGAGGTGGGATGCCTGAAAGCAGTGCCATTTCTGGAGGAGGAGAACGACCATCATTTGAACCACCGGAGGAATAGTACAAAATACCACTTTTGCTATTTTGCTTGTTGAGAATTGTGCCTGCACAAAAATCTACAGAAGATTCTGGATATCCAGGCATATTTAACATTGGAAAATAATCCGTATGAAACGGATGTCGACCATGAGAGCGCGAACGCATCCTCCTACTTTCCTAAAATAATATACAGTCAAATGCCACACAAAATCAGTATTAAACTTTCTACTTCCTCAACTAATCACATAAACAGTGAACTCTAATTTATATTATAAACCTTCTACAAGGGAGGAAAATTCATAGCTATGACTTTTACATTGTGTCATTATCTGTGCAGGTGCATTGAATAATCTCACAGCATTTCCAAATGATTTCAAATCAAATAGTTGACTAAATTAAGCAACCTTCTTATGGCGTGACTGTGCACCATCCACCTTTACACCAATATTTTGTTCTTGCTCCCTAATACTTCGTCGTTGCTTTGATCCTCGGTTATGGCTCATATTACTATTTTCTACTGTCGCACCATCTAGTAAAGGGTCTATCTTTTTTAACAGCGATGATTCACCATGAGAAAAAATCTGTAATAAGGCCATGACATATGTAAATCAAACTCTAACAAACTAGCAAGTTAAACTTATGTATTAAAGATTACAAATCCCCTCTTTCATGTTACATTAATGTTTTAGAAAAGTCTACGCAAAAAATTAAACACTGAAAGAAACGTAAAGAAGGGAAATCTTGAGAGAAGTGGATAAAATTGCTCTGAACAAAAAATCATACTTCAATGCTTTCTTTCTTCTTTCATCCTATTTTTTTTTTTACTATATATTGCTAAAAAAGAAAAATTATTTGTCGTCAACAAAAAAGTTTTGATCAAATCAATATTTTATGTGCAAGCGGACCTCAGGTGGCTCGTCATCCCATAAAGGTCGTATATGGGATAATAATGGTGGTGCAACTAGACCACCACCGCTGAGTGATGCACCATAATCACGATCTGATGATGATGCCGAGATATTCAATACATTAGCATTATCAAGCATATTTGATGTTGGATTTGACAGATGTATTTGCTCCTGTGACTGCAATTTCACTCTTCAGTGATTCCAAAAATACCAAAATACATCAAATTCAAAAAAAAAAAAAAAAAAAGGCAAAGCTAGAAGATTAACATTGCTCAAAAATATTTCAGTACCACCTATGTGCAACCAATTCATCCATAAATAAAGCAGTATTTCAAAAAACTTTAAAGAAAGATAAAAAAAAAATAATAAAATAAAACGATCAAAAATTTAGACCTGCTGTTGCAAAACTGCTATCGTTTGCTTACATTGACGTATTTCATGGAAAGTACGTGTTTCCAACTTAGCATATTCTGCCTTTAAACGTTTTAATTCTTGATCAGTTTCCTAAAAGGACGGAAAGCTTTGAATTACCAACATATGATTACCCGAAATCTGACTTTTCAAATATATTTCACTTCCTTGGATACCTCATTTCAAAATCATCATTTTACTTCTTCACTTCATACACTACAAGTTCTATTTCTACAAAAAGAACCTTCACCCTTAAGAGGACAAAAACTTATATAAAATCGGTTCTATCATCAGTTTTAACAGCAAATCATACAAAGTAAAAGTAATTAAATTACCAATAATTTAAATTCCACTGCTTTTTTTTGATCTTCCAGTCGTCTTACTTCTTCTTGCCATTTCATCACCTCATTACGGAGCCTTTCTGTTAGGTCTTCTGCACTTCGTAATTTTGCTTCCTTCAATTGAACAGAAAGATTGAACTAATCGTTTACATATTATATATTACAATTAGTGTTTTAGCACCTTTTTCTCAAAAACTTACTCGTTCTTCGACCATTCCTAGAATTCTTTTGAATTGATTCTGCGCTTCAATCCTTTCAGCCTCCTTTGCTTCCACTTCCTTCAGTCGTTTCGCCGCTTCTGTTTCGGCAAATTCAACTTTACGCATCAAATGATCCCGCTCATTTAACTCCTTTTGCAGTGTCAATCTAAATCATTACTGCATGGAATATAAAGTTACTTAATTACATCAGTATCACAAGCAGAGTATTAGACTCAGCTAATGTTGCACTAAATTAGCATAAAACCCAACAAAATCTTAAATTAGCTACTCATCACGGAGCTGTATATAAAAACATTTGTAGATTGATTTCCTAAGAGACGAGATAGAAACTAAAGCCACCACAATGCAAAAGAATGTTAAGCTTATAACCAAAATATTGTAGAAAGGGAAAAAGACCATGAACTTTGTTATTCGGTATCCTTCATAGCGCAATTTTTTTTTTAGTCAGAATTATAGTTTTTGAGCATACTTCGCCTGATCCAAATCTGCTTCAACAGTCTTTAACTGTACTCTGAGTTTTGCAACTTCGATAATTTCAGCAGGTGAAATCCGTGTAACAGTATGATCTTTTTTCGGTTTTTCTGGTACTTGCGCTGTCGTTGGATTGTCTACATCAAATTCATCAAAATCTGACCAACCGCTTTCACCTGAACAAACTTCATAAATACATAAGTAAATACCCCAACCTTTCACCACAAGTTATCCTTTTTTTTTTACAACTATATTTTCATTATATCCTTCCCATTCAAAAGTATTACATATGCCTACATAAACTATTCAGCCAATAGAAGATAAATTCTGAAAAAATGAAAAGTATCAATGACATTTAAATGTTATTAAGTGAGACGAACAATTATACATATACATCCAAGTGAGAGTAGAAGAATTACACGGCCAATAAGAAACGAACAACAGGATAATGAAATGACAACAACGTTAGAGAGACGTATACTAGAGCAAGAACCTCAAGTTTTTCAGTATTCCACTGAATCAATATTAGATAAGAAAAGAAACCTAACCATTTACATTTTCTTGTGCTTGTCCACCATTTTCTACCTCAGCAGCTGATAATCCGTCCTGCTCAACATTTTCCGAATTACGTATTTCATTTATAATTTCCGACAATTGAACAATTTCATTTTGGAGTTCTTCCACCCGTTTGCGTAGCATTTTGCTTTCTGATAAGGACGTCTACAAAAACATAGAATCGAGAATTCACTTTCGAAAATTTGCTTTCATTTAGTATTAGCATGATGAAAAAACTTAGCACACTGTGGAAAGAACAAACAACTTTGTCACGCAAATTCTTCGAGTTAAAGCTAAAATGTATCCTTAAATGAATAATTCTGAGAAATGAAGAAAAAAATCATTGAAGAAAGTATAATGTACCAACTCTTACTTTCAATTGATCTTTTAAATTTTTGATTTCGAGAGAATATGAATTTGCTTCCGACTCAAGACGCATTAAATGTGCATTTTTTTTGGTAGCTTCACTAACCAAACGTTCATTCTCTTCATGCAATACTTCCATGGTGGTATGTAATTCGGATGATTGTTTCATTAACAACTAAAAATATATCAAAATGTATTAGTGGATTTGGACGGAACACAAATTTTCCAGCTCTTTTAAGCACAATTCTCTTAGTTGACATTTTAATTCCTATTTGCAAATAATAAAAGAAAAATCCTCTCCAAGTTTCAAGGCAGATACAACAAGGATGAGCACAGTTCACCACAATGTTATCCTATTCACGCTTACAAAACAAGAAAGGAAACCTCGTTTTTCTCCTCAAGATTTTTATTTTGTTCTGTTAAATCCTTGCATTTCAAACGTTCCCTTCCAATCATTTGACTCGTTTCATCCGTTTCTATTTTCAGATTATCATTTTCTTCCTCAAGCATATGACACCTATAAGTGATATTAGTTTATCTTTACGCGATAAAACTCTGAAACCAAATCACAAATTCTTCAAAATGCAAATCCCTTCTTTATTTCTCAGCATAAAAAAAAGAAGAAAAAAAACGCATACTTAGTTTTCAATTGACTCATTTCCAACTGCAAATTTCTGAATTTCTCGTCCATTTCGGTATTCCATGCATTTCTTCCTTTCTCTATTTCAGCATGCAGCAACTCAAAAAGCATCAATTAAAATGATGGGCAGACGAAAATTCTTACTATTACTTCATGATATTTCACTAAATAAACAATTTGACAATACCGCCGATTCGATTGTGATATAAGTGAATAAGTGATACATCAAGAAAGAAAAGAAATTTCACAGATTTTTAAATTCTCTCATAAATCAAATACTGAAAAGCTTTTCACTTCAAGGAAGAAACGTTGTGGGAGTAACAATTTACCTTTATCTGAACTTCACGTTGTCTAATGGTTGTAAATGCATTATGTAGTATTCTTCGATCAAAATTATCCTTGTCAGAAGTATCCGGAAAAACTAGCATCCGTAGCAAATGAATCAACAAACAAAGGGGAACGAAAATTGTTACCAAAACTCCTACAAAAAAAGAACAATGTTAGCCATGTTTCATAGAAATAAAAAATAATTGAGAAAGAGACCCGCGAAATGATCAAATGATGAGGTATTAACAGAATTATCACCAAAGAAAAGGAAACATACGATACTTAAATTTTGTAAGTCCTTTTACAATAAAAAAACATGCCTTAACGAATGAAAATTAAATATCTAGAGCAAATATTGATCTCTTAAATAAAGCTCAGTATCCTAATATTCAAAATCACGTCCGCTGCTTTTATTGGTTTAAATCACAACAGTTTTTTTTATTTGAGATATAAAGTAGGCTTAATTACACAAACAATACCTGCATCGTCAATATTACTTAATGATGATGGTAATATATAACGTACAATACCAATCAATTTGCTGATCCACTTGCCAATCACAAATAAATATTCCATCTTTGACTTTTCATCATTTATAGCAGTCTTATAAACCTTGTCACATTCACCTTTCACGCAGTAACCCTATAAAAAAAGCAAAAGAGACGTCAACTACCATTTAAATAAATAATTACTACATAATATTAACTCTTAAAATATACCACTGTCTTAACCTTTATTACAGAACTAACTGAAATAGATGTGAACTGCTTTTTAGCTTTTCGAGCTGCCAATCAATAAACATAAATAAATAATGTTCACTAAACATTTTCTCCGCATATGCGCTCTCACACTTTCAATAGGAAAACATATTCCTGCACTGCAGGTCACCACTCATTGACCAATGAGGATCACATAAAAGATTTTGAAAGCACTAATTTATCCTTCACTTTAAGTTATTGGTAAATAGCCTACTAATCCATCTTCTTCTATAATATCTGTCTTCACTTCTTCCTCTGTCTGTACAGGTCCATCGACACTTCTTCGCTCGGTTTCTATTTCTGTATTAGAATTTCTTTGTGCTTCCTCAAATAAAGTGAAAATAAAGTTGATATATTAAAAAAAAAAAATCCAATTCTACAATAAAACATCTTCGCATAACTGTTATTTTCTTTTGACATGACTAACAACCATATAAGAATGCTTTCCTGACCTATTCTTCTTTGTTTTAACGTCATTTTTCTATTCACAGTACAAAAATCTCAAAACTAAGAATAAGCATTTGTGAAAAAACTTTCGGTACTTTAGAATAAGAAACTCCTAAACATTAAACTTTAAAATTGCATCATGCCTTATGTGTTTTCTAACCAGTTTTTTCTATGAAACGAATTAGTAATTAGAAAACGTATAGGGAATTATCTAAAAAAACTTTCACTATTATCCATTTCAGCTAATTCATATGCTGATAGGGTCAAATTTTCTAAACAAGAGCAAAAATCTAATATCATATGGAATTCGATAACAGACACACCTGCTCATAATGTGAGATATCTGCAGTCACTGATGAACTTATGGAAACAGATGAAAACGATGGTGAATCAAGCTGATAGTTAATTGTCGTTGTTTCTGTACTTTTTTCCCATGATCCCAGCTTTTGCTCCATTTTCACTGCAGAACCGAACTCAGATGATACTGTAACCGGATCAAACTGTTGAGCAGGAAAGGTGGCGATTGTTGGTTCAGCATAAGTTGACATAGGCGTAACGTCGTGATTTGCGAGGATTGCTGCAGTGCCACTTGGAGATGATGTCTCCGATTCAATAATATGGTGTTTTGTTGGAGGAGGGGATGATGGTGAAGATACGTACACAGAATCTGGATGCACAGATTCTAATGATGTTGGTGGCATTCCATCTGACACCATTGCTACCGAAGGAGGGGGAGGGGTTGGTATAGAGCCATCGGCTTCAAAAGGAACATTTGGTAAGGATGGATTAACTGAAGGGAGAGAGAAATTGATTTGTGATACAGTGGGAGGGAGAGTGGATTCAAGAACTCCAACTGAAGTAGTCGTAGCTTTCGGATGAGGAGGTTTGATGTTAATCTGCTGTACGGATACTGGCTGAAGTGATTCGGTGGACAACAACTGCGCGTTCATAATGCTTGCAGATATTTTTTTCTCCGATGAATCGGTCTGTGGAAGATTACCATCCTCTGCAAAACTAATATCAGATGGAAGCAAATTTTTCAGCGTAGCTGACGATCCTTTTACATCTGAAGGAAGCCCAGGCACTACTGTTTCAGGAAGATTGGGAATGACATTTGATGATTCCACGTCTGGCAGCAAGACAGGAGTACCAGATCCGTGCATTATATTTTGTTGTACAGGAATCTCTGGCACGACATTGAATTCAGAGTCGAGAAGAGATATCTAAAGCAACCGTATATAAATGAAATATACCAGATCCAACTCATAACTGCTACAATTTACAAAGGTTTAACTATTCACAAACAAAAGAATTATGTAGGTTTTTAACCTTTTGTTTTTGGACTGAAGCGATCGTCCCATCAGGTGTCACCTGCGGTTCATTTTTTGGGACATTAACTGCGGGAAGTGATGAAACTGCCTGGAATATGTACTTCATTTACATCATAAAATAATGAAACATCTTATTATATCATAAAATAATCAAAAATATGACCACAATACCGATGCGGCAATACCAAGCATGCTATTACAGAGAGAAAGTTTCAACATTCTACGCACAATTATTAAATAAAATATAGCGGAATAACACAAGGCTAGATTATCAAAGCAAGGTCATTTTAGGTAATTGTATAAGACTGTTTTCGACATACAAACTCATTATATTAAACTGTAAATCACTTCATTGCTAAAAATAGTTTGTAGAGCAATACAGAAAAAAGTTCGCGCAATTATCATGACCTAGAATCTGCTTTTAATCAAAGGTTATAGTTTTCTAATGAATGAATAAGAGAAATAGAGATACACAGATACACAAAGAAATACGTACTGTTGCTTCAGAAGATTGATGTGTATGCTGCACAGTTCGGATATGCTCGTGCGAATCTGCATGCATGTTACGACCATGATAATGTTCATGATGATGAAGTTCGTGATCATGAGAATGTCTATGACCGTGTGAATGGCTGTGTGAATGTCCGTGTCCTTGATAAATATGAGGATATAAATGATGGAAATAAGCAGTAGATTAAAAACTACCAGTTCTATCCAACTTACAAATATTCAAAATGATGATTAAACTAGACATATTCAGAACATTAGAAAATGAAGATTTTAAATGCAACTTTGATTAAAAAGACCATGTATGTCTCCTAATTCTGCAGATAAATACGATGAAGTTATTAAAATCAAAATAACCTTGGGCGTCGGGAAAGTATCCCAATGAAGCGTAATCGATTTGCTCTGCTGGTAACTGTCTTTCAACAGAAAGACGTTTGGCATTCACTTCATAATCTTTAATTAATTCTGGTAGAGCTGCTTTGATACCTCAAAATTTTTTTCACTCAAAAAACAAAAAAAAAAAAAAAAAAAAAAAAAAAAAACGACAAGACAATATTAAAAAGAAAAATTACAAGTTCTATCCAGTTTACAAATGTCCAAAATGACGATTACGATATACTCAGAATACTGGAAAATGCAGGTTTTAAATACAACTTTAATTAAAAGGTCATGTATGTCCTCGAAGAACCATTATATAAAGCAATATACTTCCGACAAGAGCAATGAAATAATGCCAGAAGCAAATTATTTATTACCGACTAATCTGTGAGAAGGATGATCGCGCGGATCTCTACTGATCATAAACATTGTTTTATTGGACACAACCGCATTTTTTAAGAATTCTACGTAGTCGTCGAGATTAATATGCATCGAGAAAAAATTTCCTTTCCTTGCCGGTTCACGGACAAGCTGCAAATATAACTCCAGAATTAAACTAGTAGAAACAAATAAATACAAGTCAGAAACTTTAAGATGACAAAACAAAATGATCTGCTTGCTGGTATGTAAGATTTTCTAAAGAACACTATTCAAAAGAAAAGTTGTGACAGAAGCATTATTATTAACTAAAAATGTCGTAAATAAAAACTTACAGCGCCTTCCATTAAATCCGTCCGATCACTGAATTTAATTGCATAGACGCTGACAATATCATTTTCATTAGGCGATAGGAATGACTCGTGAGTAGCTAACGATGAGCGATGAAACTTTCCTTCGAATAACTTCTCTAAATTTTAAAATTAAGGTCAGAGAGAAACTGAAACTAATATTTAAAAACAAAAAAAAAATTCAATAATTTTTCCACACCAAGCAAAATTGTTACAATTTGACAAGAGGACGAGTCATGATGATAATTCTCCCACCAATTAACAACATAAAAAGTTCCAAAAAATCTGCAAAACTCATGCAACAATTCCTCGAGAAAAGATAGTGGAAAGCTATGTGTGTAACAGCTAGCAAATACAGCACATTATTAATAACTGACTTAAAAATGCATTAGTCAATTTTTCAAAACGAGAGATTTCAAATTTTCAAATTCCTACATCACAAAAGACAACTATGTTCTACCCATCTCTAATAAATTAACCATTCAAAAAGTTCGGAAAAAGTATCACCTGAACAAGCTTCATCGCCACACAACTTTGTTTTCTTTGCAATTGTTCCTACTGATGAAGCAAGTGGCAAAAAGCACATAATTATCTAAATAAATTACTTCCTAAACAACTATTGATAATATTGCGTCAAAAAACATACTCCAACGTAGGAAAAAAAAACAACCTTTCATACCAAACAAAGAAAATCACTTCAAATTTGAAAAAAAAAACCACTTCACGATAACCGAACTTATGGAAATAGGTTGCTTTCTTTTACATCGTTGACAGGTGGGTTACCTGACCGATTAGAGACATAACTAAGGTATTTACTTGGAAGGCTGCACCTGAGAAATGGTTCACTCCAAACTGAAGTAGACAAAAATAACAAAAAAAAAAAAAAACAAAATTAACTTACATTAACATTAACGAAGTGGAAAACCATTGTGGCCATAATCGCAGAGTAATCTCAAACAATAAAATATAAAAGCAGATAAATAAATACAGAAAGTGGGCTTCTTTTCGTTTTCAGATTTCCGAGCACATCTTCTACCACCTCTGAATTAAATTTTAAAATTTTTAAGAAAATAATTCTACACAGGAATTCGAAATAAGAAAGCTAAATTTGAATTCCAGCATTCTGATTTTCACATATGAACTTGTAGTAAAAGCTACTTAAAAGATATTTTAACTAAACTACAACCATTAAAGATATCAGAAAAATGAAAACAATGAATTCGAATCATGCGTTTCCTTTACATATGTCTCCTCTATCAATAGCAGAAGTAGATAAAAGAACAAATTAAAATTCGCTTGACATTAAATTACCACAAAAATTCCAAAGCTCAGATTCATTAGCAATTGAGCTTGTATTATACAACAAGCAGAAATGATACGTTTAGATTATACACATCATTCGAGTTTGCTTCTAATTTAGAACTTAAGCGAATGATCATCTCTAATAATAAAAGGAAAAGAAGAGCCATTGAGATTTCATCGAAGTACACCAACTTTCCCCTGCAGATACCAAATACCTGAGCCCCGCATCCGGTAGGAAACGACCGAAAAGACTGATCAGTCCGTCCGGTACAATCCAGCCAACAAACCACCTGTGTTGACGTGTTCCAATCACCATTCGCGTTACGCTACTGCTCGAATACCTTGATGGAATCTCATGAAAATCTTTATGTCAATAATCTATTTAAATGATCTTAATAGTCCACAGCGGGAAGTTTGAACTTCACTGCGTCTTATTTACGAAGTACTCGCACGTGTGACTTACGTGGATGCATTTTCTGACGTAAGTTTTATAAAGCATAAGGCTTTCGACTTCAAGCCCACTCACTCCAGAATTTAAAAGAATTTTGCTTAACTACAAAAGGTAGATTTTTTACTACTAATTAAATTTTCCAAATTTGTAGTTTAATGTACTTCTTGAGTTTGTAGCAAAAGGTAAATGAATTGAATGGATTCTGTAAAATATACTTCTCATTTGCATTTGACTTACTTTTAACTTGGCCAAATTTAATGTGCAGGAAATAACCCATCACTGAAACAGCTGGGAATCACTGCAGTGGGTTATGAAGGATGAAATATGGACTGAGATTTCTTTACAGTTGAACTGTACAGATCACCATTGAACTGTACAGGTCACCATTGAACTGTACAGATCACCATTGAACTGTACAGATCACCATTGAACTGTACAGATCACCATTGAACTGTACAGATCACCATTGAACTGTACAGATCACCATTGAACTGTACAGATCACCATTGAACTGTACAGATCACCATTGAACTGTACAGATCACCATTGAACTGTACAGATCACCATTGAACTGTACAGATCACCATTGAACTGTACAGATCACCATTGAACTGTACAGATCACCATTGAACTGTACAGATCACCATTGAACTGTACAGATCACCATTGAACTGTACAGATCACCATTGAACTGTACAGATCACCATTGAACTGTACAGATCACCATTGAACTGTACAGATCACCATTGAACTGTACAGATCACCATTGAACTGTACAGATCACCATTGAACTGTACAGATCACCATTGAACTGTACAGATCACCATTGAACTGTACAGATCACCATTGAACTGTACAGATCACCATTGAACTGTACAGATCACCATTGAACTGTACAGATCACCATTGAACTGTACAGGTCACCATTGAACTGTACAGATCACCATTGAACTGTACAGATCACCATTGAACTGTACAGATCACCATTGAACTGTACAGATCACCATTGAACTGTACAGATCACCATTGAACTGTACAGATCACCATTGAACTGTACAGATCACCATTGAACTGTACAGATCACCATTGAACTGTACAGATCACCATTGAACTGTACAGATCACCATTGAACTGTACAGATCACCATTGAACTGTACAGATCACCATTGAACTGTACAGATCACCATTGAACTGTACAGGTCACCACCGATTATTTTTGGAATTGTCCTGCATCCACTGTTGACTGCAAATTGCTTGCAAATCCAACTGTGATGTGCATGATAGTACGGGCTTGTCTACATAAATAAATGTTTCAGTTTTGATTTTGCGTGCTATTGTAATTCCAAGGCTAATTTATGATATTTCTGTCTCTTAGGAAAAGTTCCTGTGAATGGTGGAATGCAGTGAAACAGACTGCAGCTGCAGTGTCATCTCTTGCTGCACCTACGTTGAGAAGAAATTCATCTCAGTGAAGTGTTCGATTACATTGTACTGTCAGGATGCTGTCACCATGGTAATTTGATGGGTCATCAGTATCGGATAAGTGTGGAAATCTTAACTGAGTAGTGACCAGTCGAAGGAAGGAAGACAAGAAGACAGATAGATACATTGGCCATATTGTTCCCTTGTCACCATGGTAATTTGATGGGTCATCAGGATCGGATAAGTGTGGAAATCTTAACTGAGTAGTGACCAGTCGAAGGAAGGAAGACAAGAAGACAGATAGATACATTGGCCATATTGTTCCCTTGTCACCATGGTAATTTGATGGGTCATCAGGATCGGATAAGTGTGGAAATCTTAACTGAGTAGTGACCAGTCGAAGGAAGGAAGACAAGAAGACAGATAGATACATTGGCCATATTGTTCCCTTGTCACCATGGTAATTTGATGGGTCATCAGGATCGGATAAGTGTGGAAATCTTAACTGAGTAGTGACCAGTCGAAGGAAGGAAGACAAGAAGACAGATAGATACATTGGCCATATTGTTCCCTTGTCACCATGGTAATTTGATGGGTCATCAGGATCGGATAAGTGTGGAAATCTTAACTGAGTAGTGACCAGTCGAAGGAAGGAAGACAAGAAGACAGATAGATACATTGGCCATATTGTTCCCTTGTCACCATGGTAATTTGATGGGTCATCAGGATCGGATAAGTGTGGAAATCAACTGAGTAGTGACCAGTCGAAGGAAGGAAGACAAGAAGACAGATAGATACATTGGCCATATTGTTCCCTTGTCACCATGGTAATTTGGTGCTGAATAGAGGAAGTTTTTTGTGATAGAAACTTTCATTTTCGATTGCTAAATGAGTTGTATGTAATATAAATGCTTGTCAAACAGGTTTGAATCTCACCTATCATTCATTTATCTTTGGCTTTTCGATTTCATTGCTTTGTACCGATTTCATTTCCAGTTAATGCTTTAAATGAATTAAATGTGACAGTACGGAATGCCACCTCATCTACCGATGATGCATATCTTCAAGCTTACTATGATCAAGTTTTCTACAATTTTCACCTTTTTATATGTACATCGTTTGCTAACTATTCAGTAACTTCTAAAAGAATCGAAACAGAACTGATTTATGGGATATCTAGCTCCGGTAAATCTTTAGGACGTAAATTTGGTTTCTATTAATTTTCCCGTCATTTCTGGCGACAAAGATTCACTATAATTCATAGTGCTGTGGTCATTCTCGATTAATGCGGGTAATTTAGAGGAACAATGCATCTTGACTTTGGTCAAACGCGAACTAATTTTTTAAGATCGAGAGATGAATTGTCTTACTTAGTGGCATTTAAAGGTTGGATTCAAATCAAAATGAAGTAGTCAATTGAATTATGCAGGTACATGTACAATCTTTATCAACTATTTGCTGACATTCTGGATGAATTTAGAACTAATCAAAGGCTTAGAAATGCAACCTTGGATATTTGCGCTTTAACTTATTATTCGCTTGGATATCTGCGCTTTAACTGATTGAGTCATTGCAAATCATTGACTAATGGCCTAGTAAAATAAAAACATGTTTTGACGAAATTCTAATTTGTTTAATTCTATTACAGCCCATAATTTCGAAGCTTCAATTTTTTGTAGCCTTCTGCTTTATTTGCTTTTAATGTTCTTTTTCTCAAGTTTTTAGCTCTAATTAATCGTACCTATAGTATTTGCTATAAAATTTCAATGTTATAATGAAAAAACCATGCGCGCAACTTTTTTTTATCCAACGAGTATTTAATTCGGAGTTGGAATTCAGTATTTGATTAGTGGCAAATATCAGACTATCAAAGTTAATTAGTCTTCCCTTGGACTAATTTCCCAAATTGTGGCCCATTACTGAACGACTAACATGTTTCCACTTTGTAGAAGAATCGATGTTGCTGTGAAATCTGAGAGTAAGGAGAAAGGTTGTGAACATTTTCTTCCTCCAACTAATTCACAAGCAATTAAATCGACGATAATAGTAAAAGCTTCCATTCTTAGATGTTAAATAAAAAAAGATCATAGCCATTCCGTGAAGAGTCTGCTCATAAACTTTAGAATTTCCTGCATGCTATTAGAAATCTCTATCTCGAGATGATGAATCGATAAGGACTGCACTAAACTGTTTGAATGTTATTTAAGAAATTAGAAGAATTTCGTACTAGCATCAGAAATCACTTTTATTCCTTCTTTAATTTATTGCCCTGCTTTGGAAGTCGTTAATTTACAAATTCCCATTGGATTGAGAATTTGAGATGAAAAGTTGTTTCAACTTTCATTGTAGTACAATTCATCATAAACTTTTATTCTTAATTTAAGCTCCGTCAGATTATATTGGAATTTAGAAAATTCAACATGAACTGGTAGAACCATCAATATTGTGCACAAAGTGTTAATTTACGTGAATGCATGAGAAAAAAGTAATCGTTCTGCTTACATTAAAATAAGTAGTTTTGAAGACACTTTTGTATGTGAGTACAGAAAAGACGTTTAAAACCTTACGTTAAGAGTATTCCATTTCTCTCCGATTATACGAGTAGTAGAAGAGAGAATGCCGAAATGCATTCAGGAAAAACTGATACTTTTGAATAAAGTAGAGTCCTGGCTCTTTCCCTCTTGATAGCAGACGATACGTCTCACGTGGTCAAGTCGAATGAACTGAAGCAATCACGTGTTTAATTTTGCAGTTCTGAAAAAATGGTGCAGGTGGGATACGAAGAAGGAGAGAAGTGCACTTCCAGGATATCATCTGTGCTGCAATTCCCGCATGCACATCAGTCCTACAAATGCATATGTGGCTTGCTACACGTTAAAGTAATCTTCCATGCAACATTTTCCTGATAGATCGAAAACTACTCTATACTCTTATTTCTAGCGGTTAGTTGAATAGTAATTATGAATGTACTGGTATTTGTTGGCATACTCTTGAACTCTTACTAAGAATGGCTCAGACTGGAGTTGTCCCCAATGCTTACTTTGTCCCCAATACTTACTTTTGTTTACTGGGCAAGAATTTGAGTTTGTTAGAAAACAAAAGAAATTGGAGCTTTCATTCACTAATTCGGTATGTTCCATTGCAAAGATGAATAATTGAATAATATTTTCAGCCTGCAACGAGAACAATTGGCGCAGTTACAGTGTTTCTCATTTCCATGAATTTCTTCTGGGCCATTTTAACTTATTCTGATACAAAAGATGTCTCAGTAGGCTCAGCTATACTTTACAGCACTTATGTGCTAGCAGTTATTGTGTCAACATTTGCATTATTCCTTGGAGTGAGCAGAAAACGGTACAAACTTCTTCTACCGTTTATTTTTATTCAGGTTATCTTCCGCTCTTCCTGAATGCTTGAGGAAATTAATCTAAGCGAAAAAGGAATTCAAAAATTAAATTACAATTTTATGACAAGCAATCGGATAGTAACTTTGTAATGAACAAATCTTTTACATGTTTTGATGACTTACTCTAGGACATTAAAAGCTGATCAGAAGAACATCAATTCGTAATTTATCGCTCATTATGACTATATACTTGATAAAAGATAAGCAGTGCTATGCTAATCAGTTAAAAAGTAAGCAATCCTTTGTGACACAGATAATGACAGCATTGGCTTCAATAGTGTTTCTCATTATTGTCATAATATTTGCTGTATGCAATACATGGCATCTCATCCATCCACATGTCAGATTACTGTTGGAGGATTCAACAAATCAAAGTAAGAAGCAAAATGTGATTTTTATATTTTCTTTTTTAAAATGTCACAACATAAATCAGAGAAAAGAAAAAAAAACAGTTAAGAAGCATCGATTTAGATATTTGTAGAGGAATGTCAAACTCATTCAATTCATTCCTTCCTAAATTCGTAAATTTCAGATCAACCAAAAGAGCTATTAATATGCTTTCTGGCTGTTCATATTTTACTCTCTCTATGGTCAACTCGTATAGTATGCACATGCTATCGATATTTCGATGAACTTGAAAACTTTTATAAGTTACATGTTTTTATCTGAGAAATCGGTAATCGGCAATTACAGAGCTCGAAAAGCAGTTTTTTTGAATGGTACACATTCCGTCAACTCAATGTTTCTAGAAGAAAATAAAATCTGTGATTATAATTTGAAGTGTAAAATAGGACTGTATGGATTGATTATAGCATTGTAAATAATATAAATTTTTACCACAAATTAGATATCACGTAGCACGTGAATACTTCCGAGATATCACGGATTATTCAAATGTGCAACTTCTCTTCACTCCAGCAAATAGAGTTTATTCTGGTGTTTCATTGCATAACATTATCGGTTGATTTAATCTAAAACTGTTCAAATTGTTACATATTTCTTTTCCAATCATAAAAAATATTGAAATTCAGTAAATATTTTGTTTTCTATAGACAAGCGAAAAAAAGGTGTAATACTTTCATATATTCTCCCAAAAAAATTAAGCTGAACTTTGGCGAATTTTGAATCACAACTAATTTGATAAGTGGACAAAGTACTCAATTATGAGTCATTTTAGCATTTTCGTTATTATGATATCCAGAACAGGAATAGACTAATCAAATATTTCTGGATGAAAATGGAATTTTTTGGTGACAAATGAAATAAGAATACATTTCTGCTAATTTCTGCTAATAAATCGAAATAAGTTTTTGAGCAAAGTATAGGCATCCTCTAAAAAGGATGCCTGTGACAAAGGTATAAGTTAATTATCACATTACCAAAACTGGTTTGATTGCTGTTCATCATTTTATGGAAATTAAATTACATTAATACTTTTCAAATTAACCGGCTTGAACCAGCAGTATAGTAGCAGTGATGGATTTTGGTGTGACAGCAAGAGACATTTTCGTTGATAGTTGAAAGGAGCAAAGTATTTGCAGGATGAAATGGGCAAGCAGTCTAGCTGAAGTGATTTAAGTTAACAGTAACTCATATTTTGAGTCACTTTGGCATATCAAGGAAGGAATGAAGTGAAGTGATTAGAGGTTATTACTAATGATGCTTGATTAAAGATAAACTTTTCTACTCGAGAATTGGAGTAGATTAAAGATTTAATGAAACAACGAGAAAAGATTGATTATTCATTTCTGTTTTTGAATGTTGCATTCGTGAATTGCTGCTTTGTGTGGTATTTACAATATATGTGACATTGATAATATCTGCTTATCAGCAGTACGAATAGCAATTCTTATCAGTAAGCAAACTAACAATACTCTGTTATAGTTAATATTAGTGCAGCTTATCAATACAACCGTTTGCTTCTATCCAATTGATTACTTCATTTACGGTCAATGATTATTTGCTGGTTGGACACGAACAATTCACTGATTTCGATTTTCTCAAATATTTAAAAGATAAATAATTTTTTGTGAATTAAGAAACCCTTTCAACAGCTTTCATATATTATCACATATATATACGAGTGCTAATAGCAATTCTAGATAAGAAGAAGAATTTCAAATGTAATACTTATTAAAATAATGAAAAAAAGAAATTCAATGTGCTGTATAAGAGGCGCAAATGTCTCAGTGACATTAGAATGGTCGTTAAAAGTAAGACTAATTGTCATTTCATCCGATTAATTGTTTTGATTATTCAAAAACTTTTCAAAGTTTTTTTTTCAGCAATACAATGCAAATTAATCGTTTAATACTTTTCCTATACTTATATCAAACATTTCGATGCACAAATATGGCAATGGGTAATATTAATAATAATGGAGAAGCAATGAGTGGAAAAGAATTAAAATTACAAAATGTAAGTTTCACCTTCTCATTATAACCATCTAAAATATATTGAAGTATCGATCGAACAAAGTAGAATGATTGATTGGTTATTAGTGAAATTTCAGTATAAATGCAACGAACAAAACAAGGATAATCAGGTTGTTGACTCGATCGATCCACTGAAATACATGGATTTGTTATTGCAGAAGACAATCAATAATTTCTCGACCATTATTGATGTGACACGACAACAATATATTGCCAACCTCCGTGACAAATATGCAAGTATCGTTGAGTATTTCACAAAAAATCATCTTGTAGCAAGAAAATAATTAAAATAAAAGTAAGTCGAAGTTTGCAATTGTTAGCCCTTCGATGACCGCTACTTTCCTTCAGATTTAAATTTTAGGTGCAATTCAAGAATACATTCGACAAAGCTCAAGCAATGAAAGATGATGGCAGTTCGATGACATCGTTCCATGGACATCAATATGACAAGAGAACCATTCCCTGCGGTACAGTGGAAATTAGGAGAGGAAGGGATGAGAATTGAAGAGAATACTGTAAAAGAGAGAAGTTTAATTACGAACAAATTGAAATATGGATCCGGTAATGATCAGTGCTATTTTAGAAATGTTTTTCAGCCGGTGAGAATTGCTTCACTCAAAATACACTCCAAGAAAGGACGTTTAATCGGACAGCGAAGTTGCTGAGACATACGGCACTGAGACGTGCATTCCTAAATACATCAAGTAAATCCGTTGAACGGAAGTCCAGCAATCCTGAAATTCACGTAAACGTTGAACGACAAGCAAAGGATTTCTACGTTTCGTCTGACATTCCACTAAAAGGCGGAAATTCGTGAAATTATTTAAATTAAAGTGATATTGTCTTGTCTATTCCTGACAAAACGGTCTGAAATGAAATGCTGGAGAAGTGTTTGATATGTTGATAAAGTTCTTCTTCAAAAAAACAGATTATAAAATATTTTTCTTTTTTTACTAATAGTATCACTAAGGGTCAAACTATCACAACTTTTAAGTAGATCGCATTTGATCTATTATCGCATTTGATCTATTGACTCAAAAATCCATTATGAATCAATATTCGCAAATCAAATTTGCATATTAATTTCAGTTTTAAATGAAAAGATTGTTGGAGAAAGAACGATTAAGTCAAGAAACGACGTAGAGAATGAAATGGTCACAAATGAAAAGAATGTCACACACAGTGATACTGAATCGATGATAACTGTTCCTGTCAAAGGTGTCTTTTTGCTAATGGTATGAACTGAGAGATGACCTCAGCTAGAATGATTAAAGGTCGCTTAGAATTATTTATGTTTCACCCAGAAATCAATGTTGCAGTTCCCACGGTGACATCACAGCAAGTAGCAGAGATGTCGATGGGGACAGACTGGTGGAATGGTACTTGGTTTTGGATAATTGACCTGGTTGTACTGATATTGCTTCTCATCCTGATTTTGTCGTGCTGCATTTGGTATTGCGGTAGCAGTAGAAGCAGCAGTAGTAGCAAACGTTCTAACTACATTAGAATTTGATACCATAGCAAGCATTTCATTTCGCTCTTACTAGATATGTTGATTCATGGAAAAAGCGATTTGAAACGGTCGAGGAATTTAGTTATATTCCGGAAAAGCATATTTCAATCCTGTTTCCGGCTAATAGATTTAAATTAGATCACAATTGTTAAAGTAAAACAATGCGTTCTGTGTGCGATTTACTTTTGACACTGTAATGTTGCTTGTGAAATGGAATACTTTTTAAAAGCAAACCGGAAATGAATTTATTTATAGTTAAACAAATTTTTTCCATTCTTGAAATTTTTGACGGAAAATTATTACTGAAAATGGGAAAAGTATAGCAAGTATGATCTATGTGAAAGGTTGTACAGAAAGTATCAGTGAATCAGTGAAATTATTAATTTATTCTCTTCTACACATACAAAATTATCGTTCGAATTCATATTTACAAATAAATCAGTGAAGAAATAAGAAAAGGAAATTGAACAAATTTTAAAAACAAAATACTGAAAGTAATAATGAGGCGTTGTTCTACGATTTAAACCATTGATCAGAGTTAATTAGCTTAGAACGTCGAGGAGAAATGAGGAAGAAAGGCACAAATCATCGCATTTCTATATGATGATTCTCCCTACTGATTCATTCGGGGAGAATTTTGCCAATGGAAGATTGAAAATCTGAGAAGAAACAAGAGTACTCGACGTTCAATAAATTCAAAAACAGTAAAATCATTTTGAAGTCACCGGTTGTAAGCTAACAAATACGGAATACAATCATGAATGACTACATGTATGTAGTAAACCTGTACACCTATTAATTAATGTTAACATTTAACGTGACGTACGTGTCGTTGACATCACGTGATGGATTATTTCACTGGTAAGTGTATTCTCTAGACAGGCAGCTATATTTAAAATGAAAATCGCTGAAAGACTTAGCTGAGAAACAAAGGAATCCCTAACAGAATTACTCATTGTAATTACAACTGAACAGAATTTGAAATACAATCTCAAGCATAAGGTGATGATCAATGAGTATCATAGAAAAACGAGTAAGTAATTCGAAGAGTCACCACCACCTAAAATTCTCTGAGAGAGAGAGAGAGAGAGAGACGTCCTCTTGGTGGTCACTGTTGGTTTCTCTTTCGTCCGATATCCACGGAAATGCAAATGGATTACACCCGTTTGTTGCCAGTACGTAAAGTGCTGCTGCTGAAGAAACGTACGAGGTCTAAGATATTTGCACGCTAAGTCTGAACGTAGTTAAATTGATTCAGATAAAGTTAAAACTTAAACAGCAAGCAATAATCAAAAAATTATTCCGGATGATGGTAAATGAATATTCCGGGAAATTTTCCTGACAACTCTATTTTTTTGAACCATCTTTTGGATTTGTCAAATTAACCGGTGACTTTATGGTGCCTGTTACAGCTGCACTACTACTCATCAACGGTGCAAACATATGCTGAGTTTCGGACCATGAACCTCCGCTTCCGACTAGGGATGTAGCAGTAGCAGTAGTTCCGGGCCATATTCCTGAATATTGCTTGGACAGATTCTCCATAGCAATCATTCGTTGTAAATGCTGCATGTAATTAGCAGCTGCAAGTTGTTGCTGATAACCGCTAAGTACAAAGGACGTCAGATCAGTTCCTGCAGTTGTAGCAGCACCATTTGTGGTACTTATTGCTGGAACAAATGTAGGCAATTTGGTTAGGGAGACCGCTTGACTGACACCTC